CTCCACACCTGCCTGGCGTTCTCTTTGAACAGATGCAAACTGTTGACTCTTTTGCCTGACTCCTTCAATGTTCCTCTGCCCCCGAGTGGAAACTTCTGGTGGGTGAGGGTGTGTGGAATGTCCTCGCCTGCTCCCACCTGGCCTGGCCCACGGAGGCTTCTGGGGGATGCTGGGATTCACCAGGATTGGTGGGCAAGAGATGGGGGTGGGTGGGTGAGGGTCTTTTTTCTCCTTTTTAAAAAGATTTAATTTATTTATTTGAAAGGCAGAATTGGGGGGGAGAGGGAGGGGAGAGAGGTAGAAAGAGGTAGAAAGAGGGAGAGAGAGGGAGAGAGAGGGAGGGGGGAGAGAGAGGGAGAGAGAGAGGAACAGAGAGGAAGAGAGAGAGAGAGGGAGAGAGAGAGAGAGAGGGAGGGAGGGAGGGAGAGAGGCAGAGAGAGAGAGGGAGAGAGAGAATCATCCATCTACTGATTCACTCCCCAAAATGTCTATAACAACCAGGGCTGGGCCAATTTGAAGCCAAAGCCAGGAACCAAGACCTTCTTCTGGGCCTCCCATATGGGTGCAGGGGCCCAAGCACTTGGACCATCTTCCGCTGCTTTCCCAGGTGCATTGGCAGGGAGCTGCATTGGAAGTGGAGCAGCTGGGACTCGATTCAGCGCCCATATAGGATGCCGACAGGGCAGGTGGTGGCTTTACCCGGTATGCCAGGGCCTTTTTCTTCAGCCATCTTGCACTCCCCTCACCACATTCTGCCTTTTCATCCTGTGTGGGCCCAGGGATTTCACTCCCACGCCCCCTGTCCCATTCTCATCGCGCAGGACGTCTACGCTTTTCTGTTCCTCAGCCAAAAACACAGCGTGGCACCGAGGAAACCGAGGTCCTGAGAGCAGATTTCCTGGGCCTGAAAAAGTCTTGGGAAACAGAGAGTTGGAGAGAACAGTAGTGATGCTGGTGGGGAAGGCGTTAGAAGAAGCTGCAGCGAGAGCTCTGGTTGCTCAGGGTTTGGTAGGCACACTCGCGTTCTCGTCAAATCGAGCCTTATGACAAGGCACCATCTCTCATCTAGAGCTGAACTGATTAAGAAGGGGAAGGTTGGGGGCTCCAGCCCAGCTGGGACCACCCGGCAAATCTGTGGCCAAGCCCCTTGGGCAGGATGCGGTTGGCTGAACTGAAGCAGTCAATGCCTTTCAGCCATTCTCACACTCGGGGCTGGCGCGGTTCTCAAAGGGCAACTTGTGCGCATGTAAAACTTTCCCATTGAAAATCCCACTCTTCACCCATTCACAAAAACTGTCGGCTCGCACTTGGCTGCCGCCGGCCGCCGCAGCCCTGGTTGCATTCAGCAAAACAGAAAGGCGCTTTGCAAGGAGCTGCTGGCTGCAGGAGATTGGGGGAAAGGTCCCCGGGGTGCTGGGCTCCTCAGCTGGCAGGAAGTTCTCATAAAGAAACCCAGGAACTGCCCCCACCCATCCTCCCACGGCCCCCACCCCCTGCGGTCCCCAGGAACTGGGCTCGCTGTGTTCCAGGCACCCGCGTGCTCTGCACTGAAGCCTCCCACTGCCCGAGGGACAGTCGGTTGCTTGGGCCGCTCACGCGGACAGCCTCTCAGCTCTGAGACACGGAAGCCGTCTCTGCCCATTGAAGAAGTGGATTGCACTGAGGGCAGCCCAGGCCATGGTCATTGCCACACTGTCCCATGCAGCGAGCCATGGACCCAGGGTCAGGGGGCCACAACCATGAGGGCCTCTGTGAATGTCCTGCATCAAGCTTCCCCAGCATTTCTATCAAGTCTCATTTGCACAGATATTAGGATTGTGTGTGTCTTGGGGGAGGGCAGGTCTGAAGTTCAAGGCCAGCAGTTTCATTCCCCAGGGCTGCAACCAGTCCGTCTTCGTGAACCGGCACTGAGATTTTGTATAGGAGACTGCAAAAAATCAGGGCTCCTTGAGAAAGCAGCAGGTGTAAAACTTAAAAATAAAGAAGGAGTCTGGATTTCTTTCAACTTTCACTCCTAGAAGGGCGCTGGTACCGAGATGGTTGTATACAGGTTTCCTGTAACATTCAGAAAAAAGTATTTCCAATTCCCTGTTAATGCGCCTGGGAAAGCAGCAGGAGATGGCCCGAGTACTTGGGCCCCTGCCACCCACGTGGGAGACCTGGATGGAGTTCCAGGCTTGTGGCATTGGCCTGGCCCAGCCCTGGCACTGCAGCCATTTTGAGAGTGAACCAACGGATGGAAGACCTCTCTCTCTCTCTCCCTCTCTCTCTGTTTTTCAAATAAAATAAATCTTTTAAATAAAAGTTATTTTTTTTTCTCCTGACAAACAGGAATTTTGAGCCCTGCAGTGCCCCTGGCTTCTCCCCTTCCCCCTGCCTTGGGCAGTGGTGAACGGATGGAGGTGGCGGATGAGGGAGAGAAGGGCGCAGGGCGTTAGTGTGGGGACCCTGTTCTCCCCCCCAGCCGCCAGGTAACGCTCCCCTCTGCCAGCCTCCCTTTCCCATCTCTCTGGTGGGCTGATCCTGGCCAGCACCCGTGACGCAGCGGGTGCAGCTGGAGCAGGTGCGGGCTGGTTCACAATGCCGTCAGCGTCGCCCTGTGCTGTCCCTCCTGTCAGTTCTTTCCCTCCATTGTGAACTCTGCGACTTTGAGCCTTCCCAGCGCTGGCTCTTCGGGGGAGCCCTGACGCAGGCTGAACTTGGCCATTTCAGATCCTCCCCCACCAGAGGCTGTGCCACGGCCTCTGTGCTGTGTGTGTGCAGGAGGCAGCCCATGCATAATGCATGCGGCGCTGATTATGTAAATCCTCAGGTTCTCTGCGTTTGCAGCCCGCACCACAATGGGCTTTTAGGGGCTCTGTGGCTTGGTGTCCCTGCCTGGGGGGGTCCCCGGGGGCCACCCCGGGAAGCACTGGGCTCCTCAGAGGGCCACATCAAAGGGCACGCCAGAGCCCTGTCGCTGCCCCCGCTCTCCGTGGTATGGCACCGAGTGAAAGGAACCTGGCCTCTCTCTGCCCGAGGCAGGCCCACGACACACACTGACTGGGGCCTGTGATGTTTAATTCAGGGCGACGGCTGCTCAGAACGGCACAGCTGCGCTCCCATGGAGCCGGACGGCCGCTTTCACTGCCGGGGCTACGAGCCAGGGAGCCTGCCTGGGGCAGGCCGGCAGGGGACAGGCTTCTGCGGGGAGCACACCTGACTGGTACCTCCAGGGGAATGGAGGGGGCACCCTTCTGTGGGGGCCCAGCCTCTGCAAAGCTCAGGCAGGCCCTGCCCCCACACGTGCAAAGTCCCCCCCCCACAGTGCACACGCGTACGCTCGCATACATGCACACACATGCAAGCATACATGTGCATACACACAGCTCCACAATCGGAGAAGCTACCAATTGCCAGGAGGACACTAGGGGCCAGCCCAGCATCCAGCACGGGAACTGGCATCAGTGAGATCTGGGGTCAAGTCCTTCCCCTACTCCCCAGCTACTCTGCGAACTCGGGCAAGTCTCTTGACCCTCTGAGGCTCAGTCTTCTCATCTGTAAGATGGGGTCATTGTAGCAGGCAGGGCAATTAGAGGCACCGGCACACTTGACCCCAGCTGCAGAGCAGAACGGGGGCCCAGCGCTGGGCCGGTAGATGGTCATGGCGGAAGGGTGGCCGGGGTGTCACCCTCGATTGCCTGACCCCAGACTTCAGATCTGCTCTGCCTTATGCAAGAGACAAGGAAAACAAGAGGCTGATTCTACCGAGAAGGCCATTCTCAGTGCACGGGGCCTGCGGGAATGGGCGCGGAGAGGTGCAGATGCCAAGAAGATGAGCAGGCGCCTCTGCCGGCCACGCCGCAGGCACAGGCTTACCAGGGAGCTTCTGAGTGAGGCCCTGTCTCACCGTGGTGGGAACAGCAGGCCCCGCTGGGTGCAGGGCAGGACTCACCCCACTGCCCCCACGCACAGGCAGCTGGCGGCACGAAGGGCAGCCCCCACCTGCCGAGCTCCAGGTACCGGGCTGGGGGCTTTTGAGACGGGGCAGGTGCCCCTCAGTCTCTGAAACCACTGGGCTCCCGAACTCAGAGAGACCTCACACGGAGCCAGGGCCCCTGCACTGTGCAGGTATGGGTTGCTTCACCCCAGGGACACGTCCTGAGACACGCGTTCTTAGGGGAGTCCATCGTGCAAACATCCAAGAGTGGACTCCAGAGGCTGTGATGGCTGCGATGTTGTGAGGCGATACATCTGCTTATCTGTCCATCCATCCATTTGTTTGTCCATATATCTGTCTGTCCACCCACCCATCCATGCATCCACCCACCCATCTGTCCAGCCTCACCCTGTCCATCCATCCATGCATCCATCGATCCATCTTCATGTTTATTCTCTCATCCATTTGTCCATCTGTCCTTCTGTCTATGCATGTGTGTATCCATCCATCATTGTGTCTGTCCACCCATCCATCCATCCATCCATTAACCTCTTTGCATATCCATCCATACCTCGCCCATCCACCTGTCCAGTCACCGAATATTTATTGAGTGTCTGCTATGTTCTGACTCCCAGAGAGCATATTCCTCTACATGTCCCCAGCACCTGGCAGAACGGTGGAAGCATGGACAGTCACCCCTTGGGAATACAGATGTGAGTCGCAAGTCTCAAAGGAGTTAAGAACTCTGTGTAAGGTCACACAGGAAGCGGGAGTGCTCGGCTCCACATCGGGTCTGTCTGTCTGTCACTAGGCCCACTGTGCTCCCTACCTCTGCACCAATGAGTGCACTGTGCGCTGCCCGACCCTCCTGGGACGCCCCTTTGCCGTTGCCCAAGGGAGCTGCAGGGCAGCGTGGGAGCCGCTGCCCCAGGCGGAGCCACCTCACCTCCTGCTGCCTCACCTCCTGCTGCCCCAGACGGAGCCGCCTCACCTCCTGCCGCCTAACCTCCTGCCACCTCACCTCCTGCCGCCTCACCTCCTGCTGCCCCAGGCAGAGCCGCCTCACCTCCTGCCGCCTCACCTCCTGCCGCCTCATGGCCCTGTTGATCCTCTTCTCCTGGTGCAGCTGCTGCTCCGTGCGCTCCAGCGCCTCCTTCAGCAGCGCCTTTTCCTCCGCCTCTCTGTAGACGTCGTCCTCCAGCTTCGCCACATGCGACTGGTACATCTGGACGGACACTTTGCTCTGCCTGGGTGCAGAGGGGACACAAGTCCTTCTCCCACTCCTCACCAACGTCCCACAGCTACAGGGCTGACCCGGGAGTCCCGGGACAGCAGGACAGAATGACAGACATCTGGGGAGGCGAGTGTTGAACAAACAGCCCGCCAGCTGAATGCTGGGGGACTTCCAAGAGTTCACAGGGAAAGGGGACTGAAAGATGAGTTTGTTTTGGTGCAGGACAACTGTGAAGCCCACGTACAGTTTTTCCATAATACGACTTTTCCATGAACTTTTTGAAGACCCTATCGTGTGTGTAGCCTGAGGTGGGGGCGGTCAAGAAAGTACTAGCAGGCTTCCAACCCCACGATCCCAAGGAGGGGAATCGTGACGACTGAGAATACGGTGCCATTATCAAGATACACACAACGGCAAACCACACGTCAAGGCCGTAACAGGTGCATCGCGCCCCTTAGGAGCGCACACTCTGACCACTGCCTTCTCGAGGGTGGATTTGCTCTATCAGGCCCACGTGTTGTCCCCAGCGCCCACCCCGGTATTTTACTAATTTCACACCCAGACCTCTGTCCTCCTGCCCCACGGACCCGCCTGCTGCTGTCTGGGTTCAGCCCGGAGAAGGGAGGCCAGGGCCCTTCGCCGGGGACGTGGGCGGTACCTGAGCTGATCGATGTCTTTTTCATATCCTCTTAGAAGCTCCTCTTTTCTCTCCAGCCGGCTCTTGAGCTGGGCGATTTTATCAAACACCAGATCGAGGTCCCTCTGTCGGAGCTGGTGGACTTTATCCCTCTCGGCGGCGGACAGGTGCTTCATGGACACGTGACCTGACATGTCCTTAATGTTCATCAGGCTCCCCAGCGTCTTGCTCATATCCAGGTACTACAAGGGAAGCGTTGCAGGTAAGAGGCATTGCCCCAGCACGCTGGCGGCTGCTCTAGGGAAGCGAACGTCTCTTCTGTTTTCATTCATTGTCTGGGATCGCGGAGAGCAAACAAAAGCTGGCGAGGAGAGCAAGCGGGGCTTTAAATACAGGTCTCCTTTCTCCCACATCCTTTTATGCAAGGCCTTTTTTTGGGAACCATGGGAGAAGTGACAACAGATATAAACACTCATTCTAATTGCCTACTTTCTCAAGGAACACCACCGTGCAGGCTCTGACCCATGCTGGGATACTAGACGGGTCTGCAGGAGCGACTGGAACTAAATAGGAGTTTGTGGTTGTTGGTGACGCCACCCTGGGGTTCACGCCAGCCCCGGGGCACCAGGCCTGCGCGCGCCGGAGAGGAGGCCGTCAGGACGCACCAGCTTCTCGCTGAGATCCAGTGCCTCGGCCACATCCGCTTTCCCCGACTTCTCCATGGCTAAGCTGGACCCTGAGTTGGAAAGGTCATTGTGAGACTGAAATCAAACAGAAACAAACAGGCTCTCTTGGCGTGCCATTATGAACTCCTGTCCCCGTGGCTACAGCAGCGTGTGACCACGCAGGAGTGACTCGGGGGGAGCCAACTGCCCTCTCGGTTGTTGGACATCCTGTCTGCTTGCCTGTAACGGTCTTCCTCCCTAATGGCCCCTTGCTCGTCTCATTCTGCAGTCGCTGCCCCCAGGACACGAGGCAGTGTCTGGACATGTTTCTGGTGGTGACAGCTGAGGATGGCGAGTGCTAGCTGGTGGCTTCCAGTGGGAGGTGGGCAAGGATGCCCCATGACCTAAGACCATGCCCCTCCCCACCTGCGCCAGGAGGAAGTGGAGAAGCCCTGGTCTAGGTGCCCAGCACCATGGAAACAGGACCATGCTGGTCACTCACTGCCCCTTACACCCGGTGTGATATCTGGCAGAACGGCTCCGAATGAGTGTTTGTTGAATGAATGAATGACTGAAGGTTGCAAAAAAAAATTCCCCTCCTTTTGTTAAAGCAATCTCATTGCCATGCAGCAGAACCCAGGCGCTTTGAAAGTGTGGCCAAACTCCCCCACGCTGGAAGCTGGGGGTGGGCGTCGCTTCTGGCTGTCTAGTGTGTGCTCCCTGAGCCCTTGCCAGCCGCTGGCCATTGGCAGTGCCCGTCGGGTGCATGGGAAAATCACTGTGCCAAGTCGGGGGCCTGGAGCACCAGGAACCCCACGCCAAATCTCTCTAAACCAAATTAGGTTTAGATGCTGGATGAACACCTGACCTTGCCGACACAGCACCTGGGATTCGAGAAATGGATCCCGGGGCCGGCGGTCAGCCTGGTGGTTAAGATGCCTTTGTGCCACACTGGAGCGCCCAGGGGTGATACCCAGCTCTGCTGCGGCTTGTATTTTTTAAGATTTATCTGCTTTTTGAAAGGAGGAAGAGAGAGAGAGAGAGAGAGAGAGAGAGAGAGAGAGAGTCTTCCATCTGCTGGATAGCTTCTCAAATGGCCATAATAGGCAGGGCTGCACCAGGCTGAAACCAGGAGCCTGGAGCTCCGTCCAGATCTCCCACATGGGTAGTAGGGGCCCAGGTAGTTGGACCATCTTCTTATAATGCTCCCAGGAGCACTAGCAGGGAGCTGGATTGGAAGGGGAGCAGCCAGGACTCGAATGGGTGCTCTGAGAGGGGATGCTGGCGGCACAAGCCCTGGAAAAACCCACTGCACGACACTGCTGGCCCCTGGCTCTGGCTCCTGACTCCAGTTTCCCGCTAACGCAGACCCTGGGGGGCAGTGGTAATGGCTCAAGTGACTAAGTTCCTGCCACTCATGTTGGAGACCTGGACTGAGCTCTGAGCTCCTGGCTTTGACCCTGACTCAGCCCCAGTCACTGTGGGCTTCTGGGAAGTGAACCAGCAGATGGAAGCTCTATCTGTTTCTCTTCCTCTTAAATAAACAAATAAAATTTAAAAATCCAATTACAAGAGTCTAGAGGCGGCTAGTCTTGTGGCGTAGTGAGATAAACCACTCCCTGTGACACTGGCATCCCACACTGGGGAAGGTTCCAGTCCCTGTTGCTCCACTTCCAATCCAGCTCCCTGTTAACGTGCCTGGGAAAGCAGTAGAAGATGGCCCAAATGCTTGGGCCCCTGCACCCACGTGGGAGACCTGGAAGTTCCTGGCTCCGTCTTCGGCTTTTGTGGCCATTTGGGGAGTGAACCACTGGATGGAAGGTTCTCTCTCTCTCTCTCTCTCTCTTCCTCTTGCTTTCTGTCTCTGTCTTTCTCCCTCTCTATAAGTCAGCTTTCAAATAAATACTTTTAAAAAGAGTATAGAGGCTTAAATGTCAAGAGCGGGCACATATAACCATCCTAGAGATGAGACTAAAAGAGGGTGTTGGAAGAGGAAAACAAACCAAGCAGATTTGCTACAAGAAGACTTAAAAACCACAGCGTGGTGTTTCTGGCCCCTCAGCTGCACCCCGTGTGCCCCTCTCCCAGGTCCCTTCTCTTACTAAGGGTGGTGGAAGTCTGGGAGGGTCACCTAAGGCTGAGCTGGGGTTCAGGACTCAGTCTCGCTGTCCCCACCTCCTCTGCAGACCAGCAGGGTAGAAGTGCAGGCACCAGGACACAGTCCTGACCCTGCGAGCTTGGGGAGGCACTTGACTGCGCTCGTATCTGTAAGATGGGGGTGACAATGATGACGCGGGCTGCTGTGGGGATGAAGTGACAATGTGAAGGTGATGGGCTGAGCTCGGAGCCTGGTACACAGCAAGCACTCAATAAATGCCAGCTGCTCCTCTTCCTGCCCCTGGTGGAGGACGGGGGTCTTAGGAGCAGGGGTTTCCCTGCTGTGTGGGCTCAGTGATGGGGTCGGGGTCACTGCCAAGGGAAAGGTCTTGGAAGCAAGGTCAGGCTAAGAGCGGGAGCGGACCCCTCCCCCCTCCCCCCTGGAGACTGCATTCACTGTCAATCAGCCCCTGGGAAGTGAGGCTTGCTTTTGTTAGGAAAGCCCGGCTTCTTTCCAAAGAGCCCTGTCCTGGACTCCAGCAAGTGCCCAGAGAAACTGCCGGAGAGAGAATTGTTGGCCTCGCTGATTCTTCCAGAAGCCGGTGTGCGGTTTAGGTTCAGCTGCATGCACTGTGACTGACGCTAACCTGAGCTGTCCATCGCCAAGTGTCCAGCAGACACCCAAGCAAGCCTTTAGGGGACACAAAGGCACCTTCCACCTCACACACAAGTCACTTCTGGTATTCCTGGCAAATACGACCGTGGCCCTTTCAGAAGCGAAAGTGGGGCTGGTGCTGTGGCACAGCAGGTAAAACCGCTGCCTACGGTGCCAGCGTCCCATATGGGCGCCAGTTCGAGTCCCAGCTGCTGCACCTCTGGGAAAGCAGCAGAGGATGGCCCAAGTGCTTGGGACCCTGCATCCCTGTGGGAGACCCGGGGGAGGCTCCTAGCTCCTGGCTCCGGCCTGGTCCAGATCAGGCCATTGCAGCCATTTGGGGAGTGACCCAGCGGATGGAAGACCTCTCTCTCTGTCTGTAACTCTGCCTTTCAAATAAATAAAATAAATCTTTGGAAAAAACAAAAGAAGTGACAGTTTCCTGGACTCAGACGATATAAGTGCTACTTTCTAACAGTGACACCTCTTGTTTGGTAGGTGCTCCCTAGGAGCCAGGCGCTGGCCTAAGCGCTTCACAGAATCACTCTTTTTTTTTTTTTTTTTTTTGACAGGCAGAGTGGACAGTGAGAGAGACACAGAGAGAAAGGTCTTCCTTTGCTGTTGGTTCACCCCACAGTGGCTGCTGCGGCCAGCGCGCTGCGGCTGGCGCACCGCACTGATCTGAAGGCAGGAGCCAGGTGCTTCTCCTGGTCTCCCATGAGGGTGCAGGGCCCAAGCACCTGGGCCATCCTCCACTGCACTCCCGGGACACAGCAGAGAGCTTAACCTGGAAGAGGGGCAACCGGGACAGAATCTGGCGCCCCGACCGGGACTAGAACCCTGTGTGCCGACGCCGCAAGCGGAGGATTAGCCTAGAATCCACTCCTCTAACTTTGTCAGCATCAGCTTCCAGCTGGGGAACGGAGGCCCAGCGAGGCGAAGAGCCCGGCCCCAGGTCACACAGTGCAGAGCAGGGCTGACTTGGAATCACGGCTCCTCTCTGCTCCCTTTTGCCTGCTCGCGTGTTCCGCTGACAGTGCGATGCACACGGCATATAGCAGGAGAAATTAGCCTGTTGGACATGCTTTGTGGAACCCAACACCTAATGTGGAGAGCGATTGACCCGCTGGGCTGCGCACACGTGGAAGGTCGCCTCCCTGCAGACACGGGACAATGGGTGTGGCAAGGGCACCAGCCAGTGAGTGCGGCCCCTGCCCCCAGGGAGGACCTGGTCTGGGGCCACTGCACTGCCCACCCTGCCAGTGCACGCAGCTCACGTGTGCCCTTATGCCCACCCCCTTCACACGTCAGTCACTGCAGAGACAAACTGTTACCGCTCGGAGCTCTATTCTTGAGAGAGTTGGCAAATCAGGTTTTGCATTCAATAATATTTTCTGGACATTTTTTTCCATCCCGAGAGTCTTTAATTCTAGAAATGGCTCATGCAGGTGGTCTTTATGATCTATAAGAGAAATAATTTGGACTCAAAAGCAAGGCTCGGGGAGAGTTATTTCATGTCGTAACTGTTACGGATAATGGCACGCTTAACCACAGACCTGTTCTAATCCTCACCACCTCCCTCGGCGGCTGAGCAAATCGAGGCCCGGGGATGAAGTGACTTGTCCACAGCCACGTGGCTAAATCGTGAGGCTGCAGCCACCCAGGTGCCAGCGCCAAGGCACTGAGCGCGCAGCCTGCCACAGGATCCCGCAGGGGCTCGAACCCAGGCTTCTGGGTCCCGGCCCCGTGCTCCCGGGCAGCAAGCTCTGACCCTCGAGAGCTCTAGCAGTTCCCCAACACTCACCCGTGGACAGTGTGAGTCCAAGGTGAGGATTCCACTGGGCCACAGAGAAATCAGAAAAAGAAGGAACAAGGGCAAGTTTTCATGAAATCCTATGTATTTCATACCCGGGCCTGCACTTGACCCTGGGGCGGCAGCCCGCCCATGTCCTTTCAGGTGTGACACGGTGGGGATAAACCGTGTTCCTCCTGGCGGGTCGCTCAGTCCCCAGGGCGAGCCCCGGAGTCTCCTGGGGGAGGGGGGACTCACTTGCGGAGCAGGCTTTCTCCAGTTCCTTGATTCGGGTGCGGAGTTCAGATAAGGCCTTTCTCTGACGCTGGATGATCTCCTCGTGTCGGGACCCTTTGCACTTGACCCCTAGGTCACTGAAGGACTGCTCCTGTCGGCGGAAAGGAGTAGACAGCAGCTTAGGAGGGAGTAGAATCTCTCTCTTGTATCCACAGAGGTGTGAACGCATCACATGTCGCTTAGCACCTTTGGAAAATAGCCTAAGGACTTTGGTAGAATGGGAGCTCAGATCTCTCAGCAAATTCCCAGTCACACCCAGCAGGAGACCCCCTTCCCTCCCCACCCGGCGTCACTATAAAGAAGAAGTCCCCCTCCATGTCCCCTCTCCTCGTTTTGCTTATTGTTTTCTTCCAATATTCCTCCATGCCTGCATTTCCCTTTGTTGTTGTTGTTGTCTTATTTCTGGGCAACCCCACCCAATTCTACTCCTGGAGGGGCATTTGGAGTTGTGAACACTTGATGCTTTTTAAAAACTGTATTTATTTATTTATTTATTTATTTATTTATTTTTGACAGGCAGAGTGGACAGTGAGAGAGAGAGACAGAGAGAGAAGGTCTTCCTTTGCCGTTGGTTCACTCTCCAATGGCCGCCGTGGCCAGCGCGCTGCGGCCAGCGCACCGCGCTGATCCGATGGCAGGAGCCAGGAGCCAGGAGCCAGGTGCTTTTCCTGGTCTCCCATGGGGTGCAGGGCCCAAGCACCTGGGCCATCCTCCACTGCACTCCCTGGCCACAGCAGAGAGCTGGCCTGGAAGAGGGGCAACCGGGACAGAATCCGGCGCCCCAACCGGGACTAGAACCCGGTGTGCCGGCGCCGCTAGGCGGAGGATTAGCCTAGTGAGCCGCGGCGCCGGCCTAAAAACTGTATTTATTTATTAAAAAAATATTTATGGGTGGGGGGGAGAGAGAAAGGAGAGAGAGAGGGGAGAGAGAGAGAGGAGAGAGAGAGAGCGAGAGCAAGCACACGCCCATCCACGTTCACTCCCCCAAATACCAGCAGTGGTGGGGTTGAAGTCGGAAGCCCAGTCCAGGTCTCCCAAGGTAGGGACCCGTTCACAGGAGCCGACACCACTGCCTCCCAGGGTCTGTGGTAGCAGGAAGTTGAGGGCAGGAGCTGTAGGCAGGAATCAAACCAGGCCCCCCGGTGTGGGATGTGGGCACCTTAGCCGCTGGGCTGAATGCCCTCTTCTTTGTCATCTTTTAAGGATCATACACCCTTTTAAGATTTAGAGGCGGGTTCTTTCCTGCAGCAAACTTGCCACGCCCACAAACACTGGCACACAGCATGGAGAGGCTCAGGAACCCCTGCAGTCCAGTGTCGGCCCCCAAGTTAAATATCACTTCTCTAGGGGGGAGACACATTCATTCAGTCACTCATTCATCCCAGAGTTTCCGAGCACTGCTGTTGAGCGGCAAGCCTCGTTCTAGGCTCTGGGGGTGCCGTGGTGACGTCCCTGCTGTCGTGGATTCTGCTTCCCCAGGTGGGGAGACAGACAGGAAGGAAGAAAAGTCGGGAAAACAGAAAATCAGCTGCAGATACGGCTGCTAGGAACGGCTCAGCCAAGCTGCCAGGAAAGGGGAGAAACTGGCATCCTGGTTCCTTTTCCGAAGAACCATTTTGGTCCATGCGATAGTATATATACAGCCAGAGATGATGTTTTATATATACACATATGTTATATACATGGTATGGAGTGAACCAAAATTGCCTTAAAATTGTATGGCTAGGTAGAGATAGCTATCTATGTATCCACGTATCATCTGCCTATCCATGTATCTATGTATCTGTGTATCCATGTTTCATTTATGTATCCATGTCTCTATGTATCCATGTATCTATGTACTTTCCTACCTACCTACCTATCCGCCCGCCCGCCTGCCTGCCTGTAGCTCTGACCACAATGCCAGCTCTGTCCCAGGGACTGAGGGGAGATTGGGGACCAGGCCGACAAGTCCCTGCAGTGCTGGGGCGCAACGCCTTGGGGCCGGCGATGACACATGTGGACACGTGTGCACATCTGCCAGGTCCAGAGAATGCTGGATGCTCCGGGGACAGCGGGCAGAGCAGAGGAGACATTGTTTCCCTCTTTGGTATTTATCAAAGGCCCCATGTGAGCCACGAACAGCAGGGGGCTCAAGGCCAAGATCCTTTCCCGGAGCTCAGCAGTGCCATCTGAGGCCTCCCCAGGCCTGCCTGCCACCTCCCATGTTCCCGCCTGCTCGCTCCTCCACTTCCTCAGGCTCTGCTCAAGTGTCCCTCACCAAAACCTCCCTGGATCCAAGAGCCGCCACCCCCAGAGTGCTCGTTCCCACTGGGGACAAAGCCCCTGTCTCCTCCATAGACTGTGCTGTCCCAGGGCCTGCCACCATGTGCCATTTAGCCATTGCAGCTGCCTGGTGACTATGAAGCTGGGATGAACCGGGTCTAAGAGCAGGAGCCGCAAGTTGCTTGCCCCAGGTTTCTGGCTGGGACCAGGGCTTAGCAGCTGAGAGCAGGGGACGGCTCACGCCTGCCTGCACCTAGTAGGACCTCACTGGTTCCTGGACTGGGCTGCTTAGCCGATGCATGCCCAGCTGGCTCTACCCTGGCCTCGCCCATCTCTCGGAGGGTGTGTGCTGTCCCTGGGAGTAAACCACTGGAAAGGGCCTCTCTCCTCCCCCTCCCTCCCTCCCTCTCCCTCCCTCCCTCTCTCTCTTTCTCTCCCCCCTTTTCTCTCTGGGTGCAAGGGGGCAGGCAATACCCACGTGGGGAGACCAAGGCACAGCCGCCCAGCAAGGCATCATTACAACCCTGACTGCGTCCAGAGGGTATGCGGAGCTCCCCGCGACCCTTCCTCGTGGCTCTTCTGGGAATTTATTTATTTAGAGGCTGGAGATTCTTTCTCATACAACTTTTCAGCCCTCTGACCCAGGCTGGCTTAGAAAGCAGGAAGTAGCCCTTCCTCCCAAGAGGGAGCAAATATTTCTTTCCTTTCATCCTGTTGCCTCCACCCCCATCGCTTCCAGCCAATCCATAGACACCAATGTCACGGCCAACCCGCTCGGCAGCCTGGGCCAACAACCTCATACCAAGTCCTAGGGAGCCTTGTGTGGACAGGGACTGTGTGTATCGTCCCCTGTCCCTGCCCAGGGCCTGGCATACAGCAGATGCTCAATAGTTGTTGAACGAGGGAGTAAATAGGGGTCAGGCTGTGCCCTATGAGCTTGGGGTTCCAGCAGGAGGGGACCTGCTACGGTGCCACACTGGATCTGGCTTCCAAGAGAAAATTCAAAGCCGATTGTCGGAACGCCAAGGGAAGGCGACTCCCTGGGCTCCAGGAAAGCCGGGGCCTCCAGGAATCCCTGCACCCCACAATCAAACGACTACAGACAACGGGGAGTGTCACAACCCCAGCCACGGGACGGAGCATGGGCACCAACTCCACGCTGGCCAGGCTCACTCATAGAGGCACCGCTGGGACTTCTGGGGCAGACAGATGGACCTTATCAAGGGACAGCGGGCGAGCTCAGTCACATGGTTCTTTGGAAAAGGAAGCCACCCCTGGGCTCTCCCACGGCGGGGCGAGGAGCCAGGGCCCGGCGGGCACTCACCTCCTGGCTGCTGGAGAAAGCATCGGTGTGGATTGGTTCTATCTGCACGGAGATGTCACGCTTCTTGGTTGGGCTCCTGAGCTTCTGCTCCTTCTCCATGCTCAGCTGGAGTTTGTGTTTCTCTTGGGAAGCCCTAGGACACAGAAGAGGAGTCACCGGCAGCAGGACACCCGCGGCTCCAGGAAGCAACGAGTCCTTTGGCCTGCCTTGGCAGACCAAGGAACGGAGCTCTGTTTACTTGATAACTGCATCCTCAGATTTGGAGCCCCCTGCCCACAGGTGTCTAGGGAGGCAGGTTTTGAAGGATTTACGAGGTAGTGAGTGGCAGGGCAGTGGGCACCTGCCCTTGCTCCCCACACTGGGTCTGTGTGCACCTGCTGTGGCAGTACAGGGACGTTCGTGCATGGCTGCTACTTGTAACACTGGAGGTGCTGACCCAGGAGTCAGGGGCTCTCCTTGTCCCTGTTTTACAGACAAGAGACACACGGGGCTTAGCCCATGGCCAGCAAGCTTGTAAGTGAGGGAGCCTCGTGTTGCAACCAGGCAGCCCGGATCCAGAACTTGCTCTCTGAGCCACAGCGTCAGCCTGCCTTGGCCGTGAGCCACAAGTGTGTGAAGCTACAGGTGATGCACGATGCCTCACTTTTCCTCAGTTTGTCTTTTGGGGAGGAAACATCACTCATGCTGAAATGTGGACTAAATATGGACTAAAACGCAGGTCCCCCGTATTTTTAGATTAATCCATGGGACGGTGGTGCTATTTTGTGTCTACATGAAGCCGACACCTGCAGCTTGTGTATATGTTTGAGCAATTGTCAAGCTCCTTTATGTAACAACCACAGCGGGAATGCTGGGAAGTCGGTCGTGGGAGGAGCCTCTGCAGACTCTGTCCTTGTGGAGTAAGCAGACAGTGAAAGGTAAAGGCAGCCTTGGTGGTGGTGAGAGGTAAGACGAGGCGGGGGTGGGGGTGGGGAGGCTGAGGGACCTCAAGCAGAGCAGGAGCGCTTAGCTGTGTTTGGAGAGGGTGAGTGATGGTGAGCTTCCTGGAGGAAGTGACATTTAAGCTGAGACCTGTCATGCGGAATATTAGGCAAGAATGTTTGAGAAGCACAGGACTAAGCAAAGCCCTGTTTCAGTGAGGCCGGGAAGCATGGACAGAGCCCCCTCTGTGCAAGGCTGCGGGGGCTGCCGCGTCATGCATGTCCCTTCCACATCACGCACGTCCCTCCTGTGTCACGCACGTCCCTCCCACGTCACACACATCTCTCCTACGTCAGGCACGTCCCTCCCACACACCTGAGGGCCTCCACGGGGGCTCCTACATCACGCACGTCCCTCCCACGTCATGCACGTCCCTCCCACGTCACGCACGCCCCTCCCACGCACCTCAGGGCCTCCTTGAGGGCCTCCAGCTCCCGGTCCCTCTTCTCCAGCAGGCCGCTCAGCTGGGCCACCTTGCTCTTGAACGTGCTCAGTTCACTGCTCTGCCGCTGCACCAGCTCCAGGTTCCGCTCCAGCTCTGCCTTCTGCTTCTCGCTAAGCTCCCCTGGGAGAGAGGCGGGAGGCCGTGAGGGACCTCCAGCCCCGCGAGGGCCCCTGCAGATCTGCCGGGCTCACCAGAACCTCCGAGGGCCTTAGTAACGGCCAGGAGGTCTAGCCACACACACCACGGCCCTCCGCTGGGTGCTGCTCTGCGGGGGTCCTGGGCTCCCTGGGCCCTGGTGCCGCCCCAGCAGATGCCGCCAGGGCCCCACGGGTGTCCTTGGGCATTTCCGGACCCTCAGGTCCAAGTTCAGCTGCCTGCTTCTCCAAAGGAGACAAATCCCCCCCAGCAAAGGAAGCTCTCCCAGGAACAGGAGGTCGGGTTCCATGCAGGCCCCGGGACCTGCGGAGACCGCGGTCCACGGCACAGGTGAGTGGCAACCAAGGCCAAGCCCAGGACCCAGCGTTTGCTGGTCCAGGTCACAGGGAATGCAGGTGCCCAGGAAGGTCAGCTGGGGTCTGGGCTGAACTTCCACCTCCTTTACCTCCCCTCCTTCCATCCTCCACCGGGCCGGAGCGGCACGGGCCACAGAGACGTACAAACCTCTCAAGTCTGACATTCGGCTGTGGGCGTCGTTAAGGTCTTTCCTCAGCCGCATGATGACCTCCTGCTGGGACAGGATTTCCTTCTGGGCAGCCAGTAAGTCATCTCTGAAAGCCACAGAAATGGCCAAGTGAGACCCACGCCGCCTGCGCCTGCGCTGTGTCTGCTGGGCGCCCCGCAGAGGGGGCGGGGCCTAGGGCAGGTACAAAGCACTCCTCAGTCACGGGATGGGAGGGGACAGCTCCAGCAAGGGGACGGGACCGGCTCGAAACATTCTCCAAAATGAATTCATTGGATGATCCATTAGCATAGGATGAAGGGTCTGGCGGGGTAGGGCCTTGCAGGAGGGGATGGCCTTGTGTCCAGGCGGCTGTCACATCGCCTGCGCCTGCGGGGCTCATGGGCATTGGAGGAAGGAGGAGCAGAGAGGATGGTCTTTTTGGGTGCTCAGGGATTCCCTAAGGACTGAGGATGAGGACGGGGGAGAAATTGAACTGAATTGAATTGAATTCTTGCAGGGAGAGGCGGGGCCAGGCAGGTGCGGGGCGGGGGGAGGGCATTCAAGGGCAAGTTGGTGGACATGTGGGCCCCTGGGTTCCAGACAGCTTCCCTCATCTGTACACCCACGGCACTGTAATGGGCAGGGGTGGTGCCAAGTTGGAGGGGACATAGGCCAATGTGCAAATCCCGAGCCAAGGGGGATGCATTTTGCGAGTGTGTTTGTGTAGGGGGAGGAGGTGCTATGGTCCGGCCCATTTGGCGGGGGCGCCGGGCCCCAGGCCCCCACGGGTTAAGTCCCCATCACTTGAGCCCACCTGTTTTTGGAACCTACACTCTTCCTGAGTGGATCTGACAGTGGAGCGTGTGTTTATTATGAAATGAAACGGAGGCCTGGCAGGTGGCACGTAAAAAATAAAACTGTGGGGCTGGTGTTGTGGCTCGGCAGGCTAAGTCTCTGCCTGGAAGCCAGCATCCCGTCTTGGAGCTCAAGTTCGAGCCCCAGCTACTCCACTCCCCATCCAGCTCTCTGCTGAAACACCTGGGAAAGCAGCGGAAGGTGGCTCAAGTACTGGGCCCCTGCTCCCATGTGGGAGTCACGGGTGGGGTCTGGGCTGCTGGCTTCAGCCTGGACCAACCATGGCTGTTGTAGCCATTTGGGGAGTGAACTAGCGGATGGAAGACCTCTCTCTCTGACTCTCTCTCTCCCTCCCTCCCTCCTTCCATTAAATAAATAAATAAATCTTTAAAAAAATTTTTGGCCACACACACGATACCCAAGTGGGCGTTCAAAATCCCAGGTGTTATCCGTTTATCTTTTTTTTTTAATTCTTTAAAATTATTTATTTATTCGAGGGGCAGAGAGGGCGGGAGCTACCATCCACTGGTTCACTTCCTAAGTGCCCACAACAGCCGGGGCTATGACAGGTTGAAGCCAGGAGCCAGGAACTACGTTTGGATTTCCCGTGGGTGTGGCAGGGGCCCAACCGCTTGAGCCATCATCCCTGCCTCCCAAGGTGTGCGTTAGCAGGAGGTGGGAGTTGGGAGTGGAGCTGGGACTTGAACCCCGGGCACTCTGATTTGCAGGTGTCTGTAGGGAAATTGACCACTGCAGCAAAACTCGCCCCACCTGACCTTTCAATGCCAAGTTTTCAGGAACTGGTGGAAGCCCCGTGTGTGTGTGTGTGTGTGCATGCGCGTGGTGTATTCTGTGTGTGTGTGTGTGGTGTGGTGTATTCTGTGTGTGTGTGTGGTGTGGTGTATTCTGTGTGTGTGTGGTATGGTGTATTCCCTGTGTGAGTGTGTGTGTGTGTGCGCGTGGTGTAGTCTGTGTGTGTGTGTGCACGCGTGTGGTGTAGTCTGTGTGTGTGTGTGGTGTGGTGTATTCTGTGTGTGTGTGTGTGTGTGGTATGGTGTATTCCCTGTGTGTGTGTGTGTGGTGTTGTGTAGTCTGTGTCTGTGTGTGTGGTGTGGTGTACTCTGTGTCTGTGTGTGTGTGTGGTGTATTCTGTGTGTGTGTGTGTGTGTGCATGGTGTAGTCTGTGTGTGTGTGTGGTATGGTGTATTCCCTCTGTGTGTGTGTGTGTGTGTGTGTGTGTGGTGTGGTGTAGTCTGTGTGTGTGTGTGTAGTGTGGTGTAATCTGTGTCTCTGTGTGTGGTGTGGTGTATCCTCTGTGTGTGTGTGTGTGTGTGCTGGGCTCTAACTGGAACTCCCAACTTGATCACATGCTCTGAAGTGAGCGGCTGATCCTCCGCCCAGCCCTGCCCGCTGCTGTCTGCAGAGCGGGTCCTCCGTGGAGAGGCTGCGCGTGGGTTTTCCTGGGGAGGTGAGATCCCCACGACATTCGGCTTTGCTGACGACTCGTGAGGCAAGTCAGGCAGGTGCGTGTCTCCTCCGAGGCACGGCCTGGGTATCTGGTCAGCGCCTTCTCCTGCACCTGCTGCGTTGCCACGTTTTCTGGGTCCTTCTTCCCCGTGGACTTGGTTTCTCTGACAATGCTCTCTCCCTGGAGGTCCAGGTGTGGATTCACTGATCCTCGGGGCTGGGCGAGGCCAGGGCAGTTAGCCAGAGCCCAGCCTACAGGTGGTCTCTGTCTTTGACACTCCTGCTGTCTGCCTGGAATACCAGGAGTGGGCTTGCCTCTGGCTAAGAACACCAGGGGCTACCATGTGCCCAGCGCCAAGCACGAGTGACCTGGCTTTGTAAATGAGAAAGGTGAGGCTGGGGTGGGGGTGGGACCGCCCAGGGTGGCCGAGTTGGGGTCTGAACGCATCTCAGCCTGGGTCTTTCCACGACACTGACTCGATTCCTTAAAGGAGCCGAGAGACTTAACCAATGATGAGAAACCCTCAGCCTTGGGTCCTGTTGTCAGTTTCTGCCACAGTAGTGGCTCTGCGGGCTTGTTGTGCACCCCAGGCTGGCGAGGCTGGGGCGCGTCCCCCACCCCCACCGCGGGCACTCACATCAGGTGGTCGCACTCCATCTCTCTGGTGCCCACGTCCGGGGCAGGTGCCACTGGAGGCTCTCTCGGCACTTCTTTCTTTTGAGCTGGAGCAGAGAGGTGTGCAAACACACACACACACACATGGACACACACACAAACACGAACACACACAGACACATGGACACACACAGACACACGGACATACACACAGACACACGGACACACATGCAGACACACGGGCGTACACACAGACACACGGACACACACACATGTTAATCCATTTCTAGGCAGGGATCATCAACTCCACATACAGACAAGGACACACATGCCGGGTGAGGGAATCTGCTGACGACCCCTGAGCCCAGCCGGTGCACGGTGGCCCCCGGCCCTGGGGTGACCGCCTGTCTTTCCTGGAAGAATCACCTGTGCTCAGTGAGGTTCTCCGCTCACCTCCCTCCTTAGCTACGCCTTGTGGCTTCTATTCTCAACACGCAATCCACATTTGTTCACTCGCTTATTCATTCAATGAAAACCTAGGGCATGCTTGCTTTATGGTGGGCACTGTCATAGGAGGGGAGAGGACGCCTTCCAGGGTGCAGCTTGAACAGCCTTCCTCTGCCCGGGGTCGCAATCAGGAGGCTGAGCCCTGCTCTGGGCCCTGGCCCTGGCTCCCTGCTCATCTCGGATCACCTCCCAGGGCAGCAGTTTGGTTCCCTGCAGGGACAGGAGCTGGTTTGTCTGTCATTGACTCCCCAGGCGTAAATGAACCTGGAACATAGTAGATACTCAGTGAGGAGTGCCGATGAGTGGATGTACGGGGGGAACCCGGGCACTTGCCATCTGGTGGCGAGAACCACGCTTCTCAGCGAGGCATGAGTGTGCCTGGAGGGGACGTGGGGCACTGTGGGGGCGCATCTGTGGTTTAGGGGCGGGATCTCGCAGGTGGAGGACCGGGATGCTGCTAACCCCCTGACCACGAGCAGGAGAGGCCCCCGCAGCAAAGACTCTGCCGGTGCCAAGCGTCCCGAGTGCTGGGACTGAGACAGCCGGGGCCTGAAGCGGCTGCTTCCAGACCCCAGGACTCGCCTCTGCACCAACGTGCAGTGTTTCGGTTATTTAGGGCGCATAAGCGCCGCCGCCCTGAGCCCTTTCTTCCGCCTCTACCGGAATTGTCTTTTAAGAGGCAAATCCTGGCTGCGTCTGTGAGATGCAGACGGCTGGCGGCGCGGAGAAGCCCCTGGGAGGCTGCGCGTGGGGATGCTCTCACGCGGAAAAGACGATTCCGCTCCACGGCGCTCTCGTGGCCCCTGGCAGCCTGAGCCTGTCGCCGGCTCACCGCGCCGGCACAAAGCATGTCCCCATTGCTCGCCATTCCCTCTGCTCACGCTGGGCCCCGGGGGAAGGAGAAGCAAGGGGGCCTCCCAAGAGCGCGTGGTCTTTTAAGTGAGGCGTGGCCATTCCCTCACTCAGCGGCTGCTGGGGTCCGCGGGGTGATCTCCGCCTGCCTAGGAACCGGGCTCTGCCGGCACCCCTCGGGCCTACCTGGCTCCCTCTCCTTCAAGGCCACAATCTCTGCCTCTATCCTTCCGTGGTGCTGCGCCATGTCCTGGAGCCTGCCCTCCAGACTCACGATCGTCTGCGAGTGCTGCTTGATCTGTTCCTTGTACCCCGCGATTTCCTCTTCGAACCCGTGATTCTGGGACTCCCGCTCGTCCTGGAGGGTCTTTAGCGCCTGCTGCTGCAGCAGCATCCGCTCCTCCATCATGATCTGGGGACGCAGCAAGGGCTGGGTGAGGCTGGGAGGGGAATATGAAGGCCAGAGCAGCAAGCATACGGCGCCGCGGCACACCAGGTGCCAGCCTGGCTCCGGCCTCAGGGCCTTTACACGTGCTGTCCCGCCTGCCTGGTGCACTCCTGCCCTAGCTCCTTGCACGGCTGACTCCTTCTTGTCTTTTGGGTCTCAGCTTCAGTGCCATCTCCCTGGAGGATTTTGTTTTATTTTTCCTGAGATGATCTCATATCTTTATTCGAATTTCTCACTCCCACTAGACATAAATGCCATCGCAGCAGACTTGGTGTTTCTTATTCATAGCTATGCCCACACTATCTAGATCTAGATGTTCAATAAATATTAACGAATTGATGAAACATTTTTATAAGAAAAAGGCAAATGAACTTGTATTTCTTAAAACCAAAAATTACCCCCGACCCCCAGATGGCCAACCGGACCCATTCCCATGACCCTCCTTCCCGGTGTTTCCAATGCAGCTCCTCCCCCTGGCTCTGGCTGCTGCTCCAGCCCCACCCTCCCCAGCTCTGGCTGCCCGGCCTCTGCCCTCCTCATCCTCGGCCCCCGAGGACGAACCCTCCTGGCCCTGGCAGGCGGTACCCACTTACCATTTTCGTCTTGGCAGATTCCAGCTCAGCTGACGTCTCATTTAACTTCATGGTGAGGCTCTCTGCTTTTACACTTTCAGCCAGCTTCGCTTTCTGGGTCTCTTCTATCACGGCTAGTGTGTCCTTCAATTTATTATTTAAAGCGGCCTCTCTTTGCCCTTTCCATTCTATTTCCTAGACGGGGCACAAACATCCAATTCACAGACCCTCAGGGACACACATCCACCCAGGCCTCCCTCTGCCACCCTCCTTGGAACGCTGCAGGGACAGGAACTGGCTTGTCCACGTCTGAATCCCCAGCGCCCCGAAGAGGCTGCCACGTGGTAGATGCTCAACAAAGACCGAGTTCTCCCTGTGGTCCTTTCGAGCCCACAGCCCAGTCCTTCTCTGGAAGGCTCCGGCTACTAGTGATGGCTCCGTGACAGGCAGCCGAGACCCCTCTCCCTGCGGCTCCTGTCCTTAGAGCTCAGCTCTGTCACCCGGAGCTCATCAGGAAATTTTGTCTTCTATGAGCCAGCACTTTAGCTGTCACACGGGGCTCTGGTCTCTTCTGCAGGGCGAATGTGCCAGGTGCCTTCACCTCCATGCCGCCTGGGTGGCCCTTAGGACACCCTGCTCTCCTCCAGGCCTCGGCATGGGGCTGGCCATGCCCAGTCCTCCAGGCATGGCCAGATTGGATCCCCGTGGCTGTGGCCATGGCACGTTATATATTTGAGAGGCAGAGTTACAGGGAGAGAGCTCCTCCATCTGCTGGTTCACTTGCCAAATGACTGCAACAGCCAGATCTGGGCTGATCCAAAGCCAGGAGCCAGGAGCCAGGAGCTTCCTCTGGGGCTCCCATGTGGGTGCAGGGGCCGAGCACTTGGGCCATCTGTTGCTGCCTTCCCAGGCGCATTAGCAGGGAGTGCTTCAGAAGTGGAGCAGCCGGGACTCAAACCGGTGCCCATATGGGATGCTGGTACCGCAGGCAGAGGCGTAAGCCGCTACGCCGCAGCACTGGCCCCGGGAATTCTTCCTCCAGTAACACCAAATGTGAGTTTTGCAAATATTATTTAATTTTATTTCTTTATTTGTTGGATTTATTTCTATTTATTTGAAAGAGTTACAGAGGTGAAAAGGGAGAGAGAGGGCTTCCATTTGCTGGTTCAGTCCCCAGATGGCCACCACGGCCAGAGCAAAGCCCACGGGGAAGCAGAGAGCTTTTCGTGGGGGCAGCCCTGAGCTGACGTCTCTCGCATGGCTTTGCTGAACCCTGGTCTGCCTTCCTGGACACCTGCCACTTAGTCGAGGCCCCTATTAAAAAGTGGCGCCCAGAGTGGTGGACATTTGTCACAGTGGTTCATTTGTCCACAAGCCATATCAGTGATTCCCAGCTCTGTGTCCTGCTAACGTGTACCTGGGAGGCAGCAGACACTGGCTCAAGTAGCTGAATCCCTGCCACCCATGTGGGAGACTTGGACAAGATCCTGACTCCCAGCTCTGGCCCTGCCCAAGCCAGCAGATGGTAGCTCTGTCTGTTTCAAATGAACGAAACAGTTAAAAATAGAAATAAATAAATAGCCCCCCCCCCCCCCAGGACTGATTTGCAATCACCTTCCTTTGCTGACACCTTCCTTCCCAGGGCAGTGTTATTCAATTGTCCTAGCATCCCTTGGGCTGCCTGTAAAAAAGGCAGATTCAAATCTGGCAGGTAAAGCCACTGCCTGCAGCGCCGGCATCCTGCATGGGCGCTGGTTCGAGTCCTGGCTGCTCCACTTCCGATCCAGCTCTCTTCTATGGCCTGGGAAAGCAGTGGAGGATGGCCCAAGTGCTTGGGCCCCTGCATCCATGTGGGAGACCTGGAAGAAGCTCCTGGCTCCTGGCTCAGCTCTGGCCATTGAGGCCATTTGAAGGGTGAACCTCTTTCTCTGTCTCTCCCTCTCTCTCCAACTCTTCCTGCCTCTCAAATAAATGAATAAATCCTTTGAAAAATGCAGATTCCTGAGTCTGAGCAAATCAGAGAGTCTGGGAAATGGACGTTTACGTTCAATCGCCTGGGCCCTCTGACACAGCCTGACTTCGGGAGGATTTCTTTGAAGCAAGTGATCCATGGGGGAAGTGAATGGACTGAGGGGGCTTTGAGTCCCATCTGGGCCTCTGGATCCTTCCAGATCGCGTTTACCTATATTTGAATTTCACCCACTGCCGGGGGTGGGGTGGGTGGGGGTGGTGTTTGCCACCTGCTGACTTTGCAATACTGGTCACAGTATGTGTGCATGTATGCCCCCTGGGCTCCTGGGTCCCGGAGGAGTCCAGATCCATGTCCTGTTGCCTTTGGTGCCTAAGACAAGGTCAGGTGCGGTAACCACCTCTACTCCCACTGCCGCCGGCAGTAGTGAAAGCAAACGCATTTGGTTATGATAATTATGATGACAGGTTCAAGAGGGAAAACGGACATCAAAGGGACCAGAAATCCGGTGCCCATACTTGGACATCTCCTCTTCCTCCCCGGGCAGCTGAAGCCACACAAAGCTGAAGCATGGTAGAGCGAGGGGTGTAAGTGAAGGACTCTGGAGTCAGGGGTCCTGGGTTCGGATCCTGCCCTCCCACTTCCCAGCCGCCAGCTGCTGGCAGTAACACTGTTGCAAACAGCCAAGGCCTCCCTGAGTCTAGGGCTTCTTGTTTAAGCTCCGTGTGGACATTAGCAGTCATGCCTCCCAGCAGCTGCAAGAGAGCGACCTTTGGTGCTGTCTGCATTTCCCAAGTGGGGAAGCCAAGGCCCAGAGGTGCTGAGAAACCTGTCTCAAGTCCTGCAGCTGGAAAGAGGCAGACGTGGGCTTTGAACCCGCACTGTGCTGCTGGAGCACGCTGGCGGGCCCCCGTCTTCCCGGCCCCGAGACGCGCACCTCCTTCTGCTTGGTTAAGTGGTTCTCCAGGTCCTGCACCCTCCTCTTCTCCTTCTCCAAGGCCTCCCTTGCTTTCTGCCTCTCGTGGGCCATGCTGCTCTCCGACATCTGCAAGTCAAGGACCAGCGGTTGAGGGCAGCGGCACAAGCCAGGGAGGGAAGCCACAGCGCCCAGAGAGGCCACGGTGAGTCAGCGCCATAACCGGTGAGTCAGCGCTCGGGAGCAGAGCTCAGGGCACAGGTGCCTGCCAGGTGCAAGCCCGGGAGTCCTGTCTTGGTTAGTCATGCTCACCCGGATGGTGATTTCTCCATCAGGAAGTGACAGGCTGGTGAGTGGCTGCGTGATGTCATTTGGTGCCAAGCCATTGACTACACCGGCACTGCACTGGTACCAGTGCAGGCCTTCATGGGGAAGCTCCTGGCCTTCTGGGAGGCGGGCAGGAGAGGCGCTGCCAGGGTGGTGCCCACCCCGTCCCGGCAGGCTTCACCCCTGTGGCTGTAAGTAAGGCCACCAGCCGCCTGCTCTGGGCTACAAAGGGTGGACCTTGAAAATTCACATCTGCAGCCGCTTGGAACCCCACGGGCCTGGGGATGGGAGGGAGCTGGGTGCCCACGCTCACCTGTACGGCCCTGGGCAGGTAACAGCCGGAGGCGGGGCCGAAAGCTACCTGCAGCTGTTGAGACTGGGGATTAGACCCTCAGACAAAGTTCACTTGGAGGGACTTGGAATGACAATGGTTTATATTTTCTCTTTTCACCAGGCTGCTTGGGTGAACGTGCCGTGTTTGGCAAAAAGAAAACTTGCTAGAGGTTGTGATGGGGAAAGCGGTGCTGGGTAGAGGGGACGATGGAACCAGGGGGGCGGGGGACTTTGGGGCTGCGTGTGGCCCCGGGGGATGAGACCACCCTTTCCAGTGTCCTCACCGTCTAACACAGCCGCCCCGCCCTGCTCCCCGCCTGCCCCACCTGGCTGGACTCCGCCCTCACCTCCTGAACGCTGTCCCTTTCCTGCTGTTCTAGCCTTTGCTGGGGGCTACCCAGCCCCCACACCCTGCGGGTCTGAGTCCTGCCTGTCACCAGAGGCCACTTCTGCGTGCTTTCCCTTCTCTTGCTCGGGGCTCTGCTGGGCGGGTGCCGAATGCAAGCACCTCCCAGAGAGGCCCCCCCCCCCCCCCCCCGTCCCTGGGAGCTCCCGGCTCCAAGTTCTCCTGTGCATTCGTGTCTGTGGCGTCTGTCTCCCCTGCAGTGGGGTGGGCGTTCTGGGGGGTAGCAAGGCCCAGGACAGGGCCTGGCCCACAGGGAGAGCTCAGTGGATATGTGGAGGGACAGGTGAAACCTGATCAAACAACCGCGGCACTGCCGTCAGCTCTGTTTCTGGAAGTTTCTTCATGGCTACGTCTGTGCAGCCTCTGCCTGGGGCCCAGCTCACGGTGAGGTCACCACAGGCCCCTGGCCCCAGGCTCTGGATTCCAGGAGGACTGTAGGTGACGTCCTTGAGGGCGCACTGCTTCTTGTATGTCCCAGAAGCCTCTGCTCCCTGGAGCGGATTTGATGGGGTCTCTGTGTGCCCCTCGTGCACCTGCCCCACTTTGGGCTGCTGTGTCCCTGCCCCACTGCCAGCCCACGAGGAGCTGCTCCAGATCCTGCGCCCCGCAGGGGTGTGCCATAAACACAGGGGAGGGGCCGACCTGGACTCAGCCTGGGGCTCTGTAGTGGGGGATGGGCAGCGGCGCCCAGGAGCAGGAAGGGCTCCCACAGCTCTAAGCACCTCCTGCGGAGCAGCAACGCTGAGCCCCCCATTGAACAAACGGGAAACTGGGTGGGCGGTCACTGGAGAGTGAACGGCAGAGTGGCCACTCCCAGAGCAGGTGCCTCGGTGGAACCACTCGGGACCGCTCTCCCGCTGCACCCTCGCAGGCCATGCCTGGTGCCCAGGCTCTGTCCAGAAGGTTCTGGCTGCCACGGCCCCTCCCTCTCCATCGTGCGTACCTCCTTCTGCTGGGTTAGGTGGTTCTCCAGGTCTTGGACTCTCCTCTTTTCTGTCTCTAAGGCTTCCTTGGCTTTTCTTCGCTCCTGGGCTATGCTGCTCTCGGAAACCTGAAAGTCAACGGCCAGTCCTCTCGGTAGTCTGCCTGCATGCTTAGGGGCGACGTTGCTAGTGACGATGCCGCAGTCACAGCCATGATGGCTAAAACACGGCGGGGGCCCGGAGGGGTGGGGGACTGCACGCCAGGTCCCTGTCAGCCCTGCGCTCTCACCGAAACCCCCTCAGGGGAGCGCTGTCAGATGGGGACACTGGGGACAGGAAGTCAGGTTTGAGTCCCGTGTGGGGGCGGGGGTGGGGGCCGCAGGGAGTGAAGGAGTGAGGGGTCCGGGCTCCCTATCGCCCCATCAGGCAGCCTCTCTGATCACAAGGTGCTCGTGAATAGTGGGGCTCCCGTGATTGGACTACATCTCCGGAGGGCAAGGCGCTGAATCCATGGGCCGCCCTCGGCCAACCTCTGCAGCCCATGCTGGTGGGGGCGTCCCTGCAGCTGAGCGATTTCCCCCAGGACTTGACTTGCTGGCCGTGTCTAGTCGCTGCGAGAGGGGCCCCTCAGTGTCTGGATGAGCTGTTTGCCAAACTCCAGCCTGAGCCCCTGGAGTCTGCGGCGGTTCCCCATCGCAACTGGGGCTTGCGGCACCCCCCTTCCCCGGCCCCCACCCTGATTAGCCCACAAAAAAGCGTTCCATTGGCCACACAGCTGTCAAGCTGTGTGTTTTGCGGGGATGGTAGGTTTGAAAACTCCAACACTCAGCTGTCCCCACTCCAGCAGTAAGCAGAGCGGAAAAGCAGCACGCCGGGGGGTTTCTCATTTGTTCTGCACATTGTAGCGCCTTCCTGTCAAGTGCGACAGAGCCACTTCGCAGGGGCTCAGGGTTGGCACTGCTGCCTCTGACCGCACCTCTGGAAGCTCCTCTGTAGCTGGCGCCGGCTCTCCCCAGAAGACACCTTGTTGGGGGCACCCGGTCCTGCCCGCCTCCGCGATGCCCCCAGGTTCACGGCAAGCGGCCGTGGATGCCAGCCCAACCCCACCCTGACCTAGGGATGCTGGTGGGCTGGGGGACCCACCCGAGAGCGCAGCAGCAGGTCTCGGGGAAAGAAGTCAAACCACTGCCCCAGTGAGGGCGCCGGGTGGGTTCGGCCAGAAGCGACAGACGGGGGTCACCAGCCCCAGCAGCAAACCTACAGTCTCTCTCCTGGAGCGCCCCCTGCCCTTGGCGTCTGTGAATCCCAGGCCGTCCCCAGGACCGCTTGGTGGCGCTCGACTCAGGTGACTCTGGGGAGACCCCCTCCCCAAAACTCTCCCTGGAGACAGAAGTCAGGGCCCCAGAGCACAGCTGTGCTGGGGGCTTCCTGGGACCTCCCAGCCTGGATCCCAGCAGCCTGGGGGGTCCCTGCCCAGTGCCTCCCCGTTCCTCGCTCTGCTGGGTGGCATGGATTTGAAGCGTGAGGGCTGAACATGAGTTCGCGAAGCAGACACGAGGCAGAAGTGGCGGCGGCGCTGGTGGGAACAGCCACCACTCCCTCCTCGGACACTCTGGTCACATGCTTCCTTCTCCAACAGACCCCACCCTCACAGACACCCTGTCCAGGAGCTGGCGGGTTTGGACAGATCTGCCGCAGCCGGTTAGGCAGGCCTGCGAGGATCTGAGCTCATGCTTCCCTGTGCTGCCTCAGAAGGGAGGCATTAACAAAAGCAGGTGTAAAAAAGGCTGGAGAATCCAAGGGTGACCACAGGCTAAACCCCCATGAGTGACGTCACAGCGTTTCCCTGAGGTCTTGTTTGGACGCATTAACAGGAGTACAGCATTTTCAACCAGGGAGGGGAGGGTGCTGCCCTAGGCCTCCACTGCTGGAGTGTTTGGCTCTGTCTGACTTTTAGGGAGGAAATGGGTGATGGGCTGCAAACTCAAAACTATAGGGGCCAGGCAGGTACCAGAAATGAAGTGCACTGTGTTTAATGTGAGAGGGAGTGGCGAGGACTGTGGCAAAACTGCTGCTACTTGGTTCATTCAGCCCCGGGCCATTTTTTTGTCAAATGGAAATGATGGCCAGATTTTCTTTTTTTTTTTTCCAGAGAGAATGGAAGTTCATAAAACACATTTTATGAATTAAAAATAAAACATGCTGGCGACAGGCATAATTTACCAGCAGGTCCTCCTCAGGCAGTGAGCTGCCTGCCTGTGACTTGCGGAGGGTGGAGCAGAGGAGAGCAGGGGCCAGGGCTGGGCTGGGCTGGGAGCAGCAGGTGCCACTGCCTTCCACCACCTAAGTGATTCTGTGCAAGGGGAAGCAGGTGGGTCCCGTGGGAGCCCCGGGGGTGTGGGGGCTGGGAGGATGATCCTACCCAGGGAGGAAGGGCTGGACCCAACTCAGCCCAAAGGGGACACTTGGGCCATGAAGGCCTCAGCTGGGTGGACTGCCCAGGGCTGACAGGCTCTCAGGTGAGTGGAGAGGCTGTGAGTGGAGGCTGCAGCCTGGGGCCCTCGACTCTGCCGTTTGTCATCCCCACGCTGGGAGACACAACCTCCACGCGGAAGGCACCCACATCTCCTCTCCCAGCTTCTCCCGGAGCCCTACCTGGGAGCCACCTTTCCCAGCTGGTCTTCTCGGCTGCAACTCCAGGGTTCTCTCCTGAGTGCCCGATGCTTCCCGGGGGAGCTGGGCCCACCCCAGGACCCAGGACACCGGGAGAGCTCCCCCACGCTCGCCCCTCACCTGTGGTCCCGAGCTCCCTTCCCCACAGTGTGGCCCTGGAGCCTGATGCTGGCTCGGGCTGGCTCCGCCTACCTCCTGCTGGCGGGCCAGGCGGGCCTCCAGCTCCTGGACCCTCATCCGTTCCTCCTCCAGGGCCTCCTTCGCTCTGCTTTTCTCCTGAGTGAGGTTCTCCTCCAACACCTGAAAGTCGACAACCACAGAGGAGCAGACATGGAGACGGGGCAGGAGGCTGGGCTCCATGGGGCAGCCCTTGAGTCATCACCACGGCCCCTTCATGGCAGCACAGCCCAGGACCCGGAGTTCGGCTGGGGCCCCGTCGCTCCTTCCTGGCTGTAGGGACTGGAGCCAGGCTCTGGCACCCGCCCCCGCCCCGCCCCCGCCTGCACCTGCCTCCTTCTGGCGGGCCAGGTGGGCCTCCAGCTCCTGGACCCTCATCCGTTCCTCTGCCAGGGCCTCCTTCACTTTGTTTTTCTCCTGAGTGAGGTTCTCCCAAACCTGAAAGTCGACAACTGCGGGTGAACAGACGTGGAGACCGGGCAGAGGCTGGGCTCCATGGGGCAGCCCTCGAGGCCTCACCACGGCCCCTTCATGGGCAGCACAGCCTAGGACTTGGAGCTCGGCCGGAGCCCCCCTTCCCATCACTCCTTCTTGGCTGTAGGGTCTGCAGCCGCCCCCGCCCCCTGCCTTGGCCCCGGCCCCGCCTGCACCTGCCTCCCTCTGACCCAGGACCCCACCCCCTGGCTCTGCCATAGCTGCACCTGCCTCCTTCTGGTGGGCTGCCCCCCCCGCCCCTCCCCCTGCCCCCAGGACCCTGCCCCACCTGCACCTGCCTCCTTCTGGCAACCCCCCCGGCCCCACCCTGCCTGCACCTGCCTCCTTCTGGTGGGCCAGGCAGGCCTCTAGCTCCTGCACGTGCATCCGTTCCTCCTCCAGGGCCTCCTTCACTCTGTTTTTCTCCTGAGTGAGGTTCTCCTGCAAAGTCTGAAAGTCAAGGACAGGGGATGAACACACGGGGTGGCCATGGCAGGGGTTCGGATTCTGCCAGGGCCTGCGTGGCTTTGCCCTGGTAGAGCCCTCACCGTGGCATCATGGGGAGGCAGTGGGTGGCAGAGCGGGAAGCCCAGAGTGTGGGCTCTGGGGTCAGCAGGCCCACACTGCAGCCCCAGATTGCTCCTTCCCAGCTGTAGGGCTCTGGGTGAGTGAGAAGCCGTAGGTGCCTCAGTTTCCTTATCTGTACGCTGGGGATGGGAGCAGCACTTCCTGTGTTGGGTTGATGGGAAGGGTGGGCGGAACAGTGAACAGGAAATACTTGCTGCCGTGGTCGCCGTTCGTTCCTACGTTGCAGGTGACGAAACAGGTTTGAACGGATCAAGGGTCTGAGCTTTGCTACTAATTCATCACACGGGCAGGATCAAGCTCTGGCCCATTGGTTCTGTAGCCCATGTTCTAAACCAGGGGTTAGCAAAAACCTACGGCCAACAAACGAAATCTGATCTACTGCCTGTATTTTCTTACAAATAAAGTTTTATCGGAACACTCCATGCTCACTGTGCATTGCCCGTGGCTGCTTTTGTACAGCGAGAGCACGATCATATGGATGGTAAAGACTAAAGCATTCACTTCCTGGCTCTTCGTGCAACAATGTTCCAACCCCTGGGCTACAGCGTGAGTGGGTCACAGGTCAAGTGCATGCTGCGAATCATTCATAATTAAAAAAAAAAGAACACTAGGTTGATAAAGGAACATGGAATTATTTTTACCGTTGAAATAAAGTCCTCAAGCAAATGAGGATGGAGGAGGGGGAGCCTGGCGAGCGAGCTGACACATGGATTCTCAGGGAGGGCGGGGCCGGGCCATCACACAGGATGAGGAAGGTAGCTTCAGAATCTGGACTGGGCCGCCGGGGCAGGTGTCCCTGTCAGAGCCCTGGTTCAACTCCCAGTTCTGGTTTCCCGCTAATCCACACCCTGGGAGGAGTGGTGATGGCCCAGGTGTTTGGGTCCCTGCCTCTCATGTGGGAGACCCAGATGGAGATCCAGGCTCTTGGCTTTGACCTGGCCCAGACCCAGTCGTCGTGGGCATTTGGAGAATGAACCAGGGGATGGTTCAAATAAAAGAAAATGACAAAACTTCGAAAAACAAAACAAAACAAAAAACAGCATATGAGGCGGGCAGACACAGCGCAGCAGGTTAAGTCTCTGCTTCAACTCTGGCTTCCCCTATCGGACGGAGCGCCAGGTTCAAGTCCCTGCCGCATTGCTCCTGATGCAGCTCCCTGCTAATGCAGCTGTGAAAGCAGAGGAAGGCGGCACAAGTATTTGAGCCTCTGCCACCCACCTGGAGACCTGGATGGAGTTCTGGCTCCTGGCTTCAGCCTGACGCAGCCCTGGCTGTTGCAGGCATGTGGGGAGGGAACCAGCAGACAGAAGGTCTCTGTCTCTGTCTCTCTGTCTCTTCCTGTGTCTCTCTCACTGTCTCCTCTCTCTGTGTGTCTCTGTTACTCTTCCTTTCAAATAAATAAATCTTTAAAAAATGAAATCAGGGCACCTGCCACTAATATCTGAGCAGCTGGTTTGGGACGGGTCCCCAGGCCACGCCCTCAGGGGCGCGCTCATGAACCTGAGCAGCGTCACTTCCTCTCTGAATAGGATCCTTCAGCTGCAAGGGGTGGGGTGGAATGAGGTCCTCGTGTTTAAAGGGGGTGTGAGCCAGCACCAGGAGGTCCAGGCTGGGGCCCCACGCAGTGCTGGCCCTGAAATCCCACACCCAACAAGGCAACAGGTCACTCGGAGACAAAAGAGGGCAGCAGGACGCGGATGCTAATGGGAGAAGCCAATCAGAGAGGAGTGAGGAAGCAGGTGGAAATCTCCTGACAAATTCAAGGTCTCTGGGTCCGCCCCAGCAGGGGCTTCCTCCCTCTGGCAGGGGCTGGCTCCCGCTCTGCCCACGTGCACTTCGGGATCTGCCCCCAACTCGTGCCATCATTATTTAAGCAGATCCTGCAGGTCCTGGGTTGGATGGCTCCGCCTCTTCCATGTTTTATGTCACAGAAGGTAGAAAGGTGGAGAAAGAGGTGAAGAGGGGGAGGGGAAGGGAGGAAAAGAAGAGGGAGGAGGAAGGGGCAGAAAGGGGGGGGAGGAAGGGAGAAGAGGGAGGGGGAGGAGGAAGGAAGAAGGGAGCGGGAGGAGGAGGGAGAGGAGATGGAGGAGAGAGAGGAAGAGAGAGGGGAGGAGGGGGAGGGAGAGGAAGAGGAGGGGGAGGTGGCAGGGGAATGTCTTGGGGTGACTGGGCAGGAAAATTTGAGGATTGTGATGAAAGAGGCAGTCTGGGCGGGGTTTGGAGAGTGGGCGTGGTGGCACAGGACAGTCATGGTCAGGAGCCCCCAGCCCAGAGCCATGAGATGGCAGAAGCCACAGTCCAGCCCAGCCTAGTCCCCTGCTGGGAAGACAGGAGGCATTGAGGAGAGTGGGGGAGGGGCCCAATGGATCTGGGGACTGCTGTCTTGAGGTGGGCGGGGTGGGGGGTGCCAGGCAAGTCGACTGAATGTCCACCTGGGACCGTGGTTCTTGCCATGGCTGCACAAATCACTCAGGGATGTTCCCAAGCCCAGGGCACGGCACACCCTCACCCCAGCTAGATCGGAACGGGAGGGGAGACAGGGCAGTGCTCTAGTATTTTACAATCTCTCAAATGATAAAATGACAAAGTCAGGAGCCACTGACCTAGGATGATGGTACTGAAGGCCGTAAAGTTCATGGCAGGTCCCCCACCACGGAGAAGGGCGAACTCTGGGTCAGCGATGACACCTGCCTGCCTCAGTGTGGGCTCTCCAGTGGGTGGGTGGGGCCACAACTTGGTATTTTCCACAAATCTAATCAAAGTTGTCCTCATCAGACAACGTGGGAAAGCCTTCTTCTGGGACTTTGCTCCAAGAAGACCCGGGCTGCAGAGCCACTGCCTTGACCCCTCCAGGAGCCACCTAGAAAAGTAGAATCCCAGCTGCAGCCAGAACCGCGAATCAGCCTCCGCGTTGGAATGAGGTGGCCAGACGACTCCTGGCCCCTTCGCTTCGGAGAGCGCTGCAGTGAGGGGTCTGCTAGTCGGCCCGGCTCTGGGTCTGTCAGTAGCCGTTTTGCCCATTTGCTGCCCCCGATATTTGTAAAGAGAAAGGAAGCCATGGAAATACCTCATGCTAATCTTGCACACACTTAGAAACAGTCTCAGTGGCCAACCAGGACCTGCAGTCACGAATCGGCTTGTGACATCACAGCAATATATAATCAAAGGTGGCGTTCCCCTTGATTTCAATAATCGATTTTGGCAGAGAGAGATGGACAGACAGAGGACAGACAGAGAGAGAGCTCTCATCTGCTGGTTTACTCCCAAGATGTCTGCAGTGGCTGGGGCTGGGCTTGGCTGAAGCCAGAATCTGGGAACTCAGTCTAGGTCTCCCATGTGGGTGGCAGGGCCCCAAGTCCTTGAGCCATCAGCTGCTGTCTCCCAGGCAGGGAGCTGGAGTTGGGTGTGGGGCTGGGACTTGAACTCAGGCACTCGGGTGTGGGATGCCGGCATCTTAGCCACTAGGCCAAATGCCTGCCCCTGCTGTGGGTTTTGGTACCCAGGCTTTAAGTCAAATTCTCCAAAACCAGTGCAGTCCCGGGTCACCCACGGAGATGTCCCTGTCTGAGCCCCTGCCATCGTCTCCCCACAGAAGCGGCCCCTTCATGGGTCTGCGGGAGCAGAGAAGACACCGGGGACCCCGCACGATGGCGGGGACTCCTTACCGCCTTCTCCTCCACCAGCCGCCTGATTCTGGCCTTCAGCCTCTCCTCCTGCTCTTGCCTCTCCTCGCTCAGCTTCTCCTTCTCTGCCAGATGCTCCCTCAGCTTTTCTTGCAGCAAACACTGTTGAGTCTCCTGGGAACTCTTGAACTTGACCTGAAGTGACCGGAAGGGAAACGGAAGCTGCGGGACAGGCACAGGTTGGGGGCATCTCCACATCCTCCATGAACGGCTGCCTCCCAGGGCACCAGCTTTATACTAGACTCCCTTGAAAACACAGACTAGATTCAGCTGTTGGCGGGGAAGCCTTAGACTACAGTGGTTAAGACTGCAGACTCCGGCTCTGCACAGAACCCCAGCCCTGGTGGCTTCTGGATGTTTCCTTGTTTACAGCATGGAGTGCATAATGGGACCTACGGAGCTGGAAGGGTTAAAGGCGCACAAAGCTTCTAGCACAGTGTTTGGGAAGCAGCAGGTGCGAGAATGCGTAGCTGCTGTCCGTTACTCCAGCTTGGAGCCATCAAAGCTCTAACTTTCCTCTAGGTTTGCTGCCTGCTTCTGTAAATAAAGTTTTATTGGGACAGAGCCACGCCCACACACTCATTACTCACACGCTGTCTATGGCGGCTTCTGTTCTACCATAGCAGACGAATGGGTCTGACGCAGACCAAGTCTGCAGGGCCCAAAACATCTACTCACTGGCCCTTTATGGAAACAGTTTGCTGGGCCCTGGACTCAGGTCTCTGGGGTTGATGGGACAGTGGTCTCCTTTCCGCCCCCTGCCTCTCCCCATCTCTTTGGCTATGCACCTTGCAGGGGGCCTGCTGATAATCAACCCTGCCCAGCCCTGTGACTTGCTTGGCCAGCGGGACATCAGCAGACATAACAGAAGCAGGGACTGAAAACTGTGACATGAGTGGCCCTGCTTTCTCTCCTCCCTCGGCGGCCGCTACCTTCTCCATGGGCACGTGTCCCAGAGCTCGCTGGAGGATGAGAGATCTCAGGCGGCTCCAGCCGACTCCAGCCTCAGATCAATCAAGGGCAGCTGACATCCAGGGCACGGAGCAAGGCCATCTGTGGCCAGCAGACCCCCTACACCATGGACCCCGGACATATGGGCAGCAAATTCTAACTGCTGAATGCCACTAATGTTTGTGGCTGGTTATTATACAGTGCTGCTCCAGCCACAGCTGCAGGAGTGACACACTCCCTCAGAATTTCTCTTTCCTTTTGGTAATGCTGCTGTCTGCACTGCGAGTTGTTGTACTTCTTCCAGTGCACTTAAACTCACTGTTCAAGATCTGATGGTGTTGGGGTTGGCGCTGTGGCATAGTGGGTTAAGCTGCCGCCTGCAGTGCTGGCATCCCATATGGTTTGAGACCGGTTTGAGACCCAGCTGCTCCACTTCCGATCCAGCTCTCTGCTATGTCCTGGGAAAGCAGTGGAGGATGCCCCAAGTCTTTGGGCCCCTGCACCTGTGTGGGAGACCTATGTGGCTCCATTGCTGCCAACTGGGGAGTGAGCCAGAGGATGGAAAACCTCTCTCTCTCTGTGTCTCTCCTTCTCTCTTTGTATAACTTTGATTTTCAAATAAATAAATAAATCTTAAAAGAAAAAAAAAGATCTGATGGTGGTAAGCTCCCAGGCATCGTGGTTAGCACAGGATGCCAGACAGGGGACAGCCTCTACCCTCCCGGGAGATTTTGGCCACACTGCCTGAATCTTTTTGGGTGCAAATGGAGAAATCATTTTTGCCTTTTGGGGAGTGCGGACTGAGCAGCCGACAGAGGCAATGGGTTCAAGCACAGGGCACTGCACAAATGCCAATGCACAGACAAATGACAGGGTCATCTCTGCCCGTGTCCTACCTGAGATGGCGTGATTGTACATGAGAAGAATATTTAATCAGAAATAAAGAAGAATGGGAAATAAACAAAGAATTACCTGAAGTTCCTGGGTCTGGCTCATAATTTTTTTGTAGTGGTCCAGAAGATAGATCAGATACAAAGAGAACCCTTCAAACAGAGAAGCAGGAAGGTCAGTGTCAGCTCTGTGCTGCTCCGTGCTTTCTGAGCAGTGTAACCGGAGCTGGCGGACAGGTGGATGGAGGTGGGGGTGGGGGGACAGGGACGGTGGGGGCGATGTTGTGCACAGCTGCCCACGTCCCATACCAGAGCATCGGGGTAGAGGCGTCTCAGCTGCTTTGCGCCTCTCATCCAACTCCCTGCTAATGCACCTGCGAGACAGCAGGTGACGGCACAAATGCTTGAGTTCCTGCCTCCCACATGGGGGACCTGTGGAGCTCCTGGCTCCTGGCTTTGGCCTGGCCTGGCCCTGCCTGTTATGGACATTTGGTGAGTGAACCAGCAGATGGACAATCTCTCTCTCTCTCTCTCTCTCTCTCTCTCTCTGTCCCTCCCTCTCCTTCTCTTTTGGTCTTTCCTTCTGTCACTGTGCCTTTTAAATAAATAAACCTTTAAAAATAAGAGAGATAGAGAATCCAGACTGCTCTCCAACTTATGTTTTAAAAATGTGTTCAAATCCAAGTGTCTTTTTGGGGGTGGGAAGCAGAGACCCACAACAGAACGTGTGTTTCTCGTGTGCCTCCTGTGTGCAGGGCTCTGTGTGCGGTGTGGTTGCGGCACACAGGAGCTGACAGCCGAGTCTCAGAGACAAGATTCATTTGTGTGACACATGCAGCAGCAGCACCAGGCAGTGTGTGAGTGGCTGCCGAAGGTGACGGGGAGGGGGAGGGTCTCAGAGGAGGGAACAGTCATCATTTACTGGGGCAGGGGCAGGTAGAGGCAGAAAGTCGGAGGGGAGGGTATTTCATAAGAGGCTGTGGTTGCTGAATCATGTCCCAGACAGTGTCCGGGTCCCAGTCCCTGCAGCCTGTGACCGATAATTCACAGGGAGAAGGGATTTTGCAGGTGGGAAGGAGGCTGGTGGGGCAGGGGGTGGTCTTGGGTTGTCTGAGCAGAGATAATGTAGTCACCCATGTGGGTCCTTATCAGAAGGAGAAGTGGAGGTTTGACCTCGGAGGAGAAGGGGGTGTGATGGAAACACAGGGAGACTGGAAGATGTTGCTGGCTTTGAAGGTGGAGGAAGGAGCCGTGAGCCAAGGGATGCCGGGAGTGAAGCTCTGGAGGCTGAAAAGGCGGAGGAGAGGGCTCCCCCGCGGCCTTTGGAGGAGCCACCCTGCTGACACCTTGACTTGAGCCCGGGGCAACTGAACTGGGAATTGTGGCCGCTGGGACCCAGTGTGCTGGCGCCGCAGGCAGAGGATTAGCCTATTGAGCTGCAGCGCCAGCCCAGGGCTGATGATTTACACTAGGCCAGGAGAAGCAGGCAGGGGTAAGAAGGAAGAAAGATAAAGGAAGCCTTTTTAAGCTTTTTTTAGGGGTGGCCCCATGGTCAGAGGAGGGAGAGGTTGGGGTGGGGTCAGAGGAGGGAGAGACAGCAGCTCCGTGGAGACCTGTTGACCTTGAGGGACTGGAGGGACTCCTGGGAGAAGAGGACCCTGCAGAGTGGGACAAGCCTGGTTCAAGGCCTGCCTTGCCCACCCAGGGTCTGTGTGCGAGTCAGGAAAGAGCCCCCTCCTCGTGCTAGACCTGTTGCCCCAGTGGGACTCCCTTAGGTGGGACCCCACCTGCGCTGCTCCTGGCAGCCCGCCTGTGGAAGTGTTTGGGCACTGCTGTGTAGGTGCAGCCGGGGGCACGCTAGAGGCAGAGAGCTTTCTCATGGGAAAGGGGACAAGAAGGGGGATGGAGGACTTAGCGAAGGGGTTGCAGGAAACAGTGGGAGAAGAGCAGAGGGAGGTGGGGCGCTCCAGGTCCCAGGGATTCAAGGGGAGAGGACTTCGAGAAAGAGAACAAAGGGACTGGCACTGTGGCATAACAGATAAAGCCCTGGCCTGCAGTGCCAGCATCCAATGTGGGCGCTGGTTTGTGTCCTGGCTGCTCTACTTCCGATCCTGCTTCCTGCTAACGGCCTGGGAAAAGCAGTGGAGGATGGCCCAAGTGCTTGGTCCCTTTCATCCATTTGAGAGACAGGAAGAAGCTCCTGGTTCCTGGATTCACCCTGGCAATTGTGGCCATTTGGGGAGTGGACCAGTGAGTGGAAGATCTCTCTCTCTCTCTCTCTCTCTCTCCCTCTCTCTCCCTCTCTCTCTCCCCCTCTCTTTATAACTCTGCCTTTCAAAGAAACAAATAGAAGACAGAGAACCAAGAACCTTGGGTGGGCCTGGGAGAAGCCAACATTGGGAAAGATAGTAGGGGAGGGGCTGTCAGTACAGCAGGGGGCCTTGCCCATTACTGGGAGGGGGGAGGCAAAGAGGCCAAGACAGAGCAGGACATTGGCAATGACCAGCGAGGGTGCAGCACTTCCCTAGGGCCAGAGGCGGGGCTGGGAGTGAGAGTGGCTGCAGAGCAGGGAGAGGAGCAGGGGTTCCAAGATGGCAGCAGCATCTTGAAGGGCACGTCTGATGGCCAAGGGAAGGAGCTCAGGGGGCGAGAAAGGCTGCAGACGCCAGAGAAGGGAGGTTACCACGCAGGGGCTCCTGTGCACTGGGGAGGAGGCGGCCCCGAGGGAGGGGGAAGAAGGCACTAGGGAGAGCAGGGAACAGTCACGCATTCTTGCGCCATTGGCCTTGATCTCTGACAAAGCAAGGTCCGGAGAAGCTCCAGGGAGCGATTAGCGACATCGTGGTAACAGGTGCGGAGTACCCAGTACCTGCGGGGCACCGCTGCCACGCCAAGGGTTTTACTATGTGTCCTCATTCTCCTTTCCAGGGGCAACTGTTAGGTAGGAATTAGAAATTAGCCTATGAATGCGAGAGAGGGGCCTGAGGAAACTGCACACTTCAAAGTCTTGTCCAGACCTTGATGACCCTCCAGGTGGTCCCAGCCCTGCCCCCACGGGAAAGCTCCCTCCTCAGCACCCAGTGGGTTACCTGGCCGGATATCACCGCACAGTAAAACCTCTACGTTTTCCTGAGAGGCAGCACCCTAGGGAAGCCCCTTGGCCGGCACCAGCAGGGCTCTCTCCTGTCCGATTACACCAGTGGTAAGCCCAGGGAGGAATTTCCTAATTACACTCAGCCAACCCTTTGTCCTGGAGGAGGAGGAGGGGAAGGAGAAGCCTGGGCCCCTTTTCCCTGAACAAAGACTGTTCCCGCTGAGCCGCCCACCACCTGGCCTGCAGGTGTGTCCTCTCCATTCCCCCACGTAACCTGCTCTCCCCCAGTCTGAGTGACTGGGCACCCTCTCCCTGTCCTGTTCTGACGGATGCCCCGTCCCCAATAAAACCTCTCAACCTTGCCTGAATTCTTTCTTGGGCAAAGACAAGCACCTCATGACCACTTCTCTCTGGTGACAAAACCATGAAAACTCCCCACGGGTAAGCAAGAGAGCAGGTGAGCAGAGTCTGTCCTATCTTTCAAACGTTGCAGGCTTGGGGCGAAAGGGTTGGCATAGCCACTGTGAAGCAAGCCTCAGGAGGGACGCTCTTCAAGGACACCAGGGGGCAGGGAGGTGCTGGCCTGGCTACCGTGAGCTTGGACTGCGATGAGCTATTGTTTTGAACTCAGTTAGGATGAATCTGGGATTGCAGAGCTGCAACGTGTGGCCCAGGAACCAAGGGGAGGGATGGAGTGTGGGTGTGATACAAAGAAGTTAAGGGGATGGGGGGTGGTGCCTGGGTGCTGAAGGGCGCAGGGCGGGTCTGATGGTGCTTGTAGATTAGCTGTCATCATGATGTGACTTTGCTCCTTGGGAAAAGGGCCAAGTCTTGATTACATTGCTGGCTACAGAAGTCCTGTGTGTTCCTTACAGGAACCCAACCATGAGAAAAGTCCACGATGTGCGAAGTGCTTGTGGCTGAGCCCTCAGGGCACTGCACAGCGGCTGGCACAGAGTAGACCCTCAGTAAACACCTGTTGCAGATCCCCTGGGGTCCCACCCTGCAGGGATAACCCTCTCTACCAGTTTGATGACTTTTTCTCCAGGTTTTACTTGATATGGTATACTGACACTTAGAAAGAGCAAAAAATGAGAGCACACTATGCTATTGTATCCCAACTTGCCTTGTTTTCATCTAAAGATACTTTGTAGCCTGGTATTTGAGAAAGAGCAGTTTTCCATGGTGGTGGGGGAAAGCCTTTTATTTGCAACAGTGTTGCAGAAATAGATCTCAGCTGCTGAGATTGCAGAGGGAAATTTGCAAAGTCCTTTCTTTGCCTGATCCAAGGAAGCCTAGGAGACCAGGCAGGGCGGTAGGCAGCTGACTTTCAAGGTTCCCATCTTTCCCACCAGACCTCAGCAAGTCCTCTACCAATCAGAGAGCTGCAAGTAACACGCACTGGTACCATGCAGGCTCCACCCGGAACATGCAGACGTCACCCAACGACACTTCCAGTAGTTTCCCTCTGCGTCTATGTGGCCTGGATCCCCTTGGGAAGATTATTTTAGAATTTACAAGCCCAGCTCATTCTGTGCATTCTATTTCTTAGGACGAGGATCTAAAGGGCAGATTGCCTGGTAGTGCGCAGCAGGGCTTTGAGGTCAGGGCCCTTGGATTAAGCCCCAGCTTCACCACTTGAGCTGGGACACGAGGCCCATCGTCACGATTCTAAGGCCTAGACAGGGCGTTTCCGGCTTCATGCTAACTGAGTCCTCCTGGCTAAGTAGACCTCTCTAGCTGCCGAGGGAAGAAGTGGGGGTGGGTTCCGGATAAAGCCCCGACGTGACGCGGCAGGATGTACAGTCCGGTCTGGCTACCACACATGCTTAGGCTAGGCTACATCAACAAGTGTTTGAGGCTTCCATGCCCAAGGGCTCACCGGCTCCTGAACCATGGCCCATACATGTCTCCAGCCTCTCTATCCACACCCCAGCCCTATGAGATGTTTTGCCTGCTGTATAAACAAGTACACAGAGATATGGAGGACATGGAGAAATTTGCTCACATGACTAGCAAGTGCACAGTCAAAATTCAAGACTTGCAATCAGTTTCCAAACCCAAACTCTGAACCACTACACCGCATTGCCGGTGGGGGTGGGGGGCGGCTCTAGGTGGTCTGTGGTTTCAGTGTTGCCCACCACAATTAAGCCAGATGCTCAGGGTGTTTGGAGGGGCGCCTTTCGGGGTTAACTGGGACTGAATGAGGCCACGAGGGCAACACTAACATAAGAAGAGAGAGCCCTGACTTAATGACTTGTTCTGTCTCTCCACCTGACGGTCTTTGCCACGACACAACCCAGCAGAAAGGTCCTCACAAGAGGCAAATCAGATGCTGGCGCCATGTCCTTGGACTTCCAGAACTGTGAGCTAAACAAAGCTCTTTTCCTTCTAAATCACCCAGCCCCAGGCATTCTATTGCAGCCACAGAACACAGCCCACAGCCCTGGCTCTGGCGCAGTGCACGGAGATGGTGTGATCTGCCTTAGGGAATGAAAACTCTTGGCTCTGCCTCTGCCCAGGTAAATGCCAGGCCCTGTCCTCGCAACATATCTGGTACCTTGCTGGATAAGAGGATGAGCGGGGGTCCCAGAGAAAGCACGGGCATTAGGGTCCCGAAGACCTTGCTTTGACCTTCTCATGTCCCAGCTCTGTGACCTCAGGGAAGTTGTTCAACACAGCTGAGCCTCAGTCTCCTTATTTTCAAAAGGAAGACAGTGATGGCATCTCCCTCATCCTGGGGGTTGGAGGGTGACAGCACGTGGCACACGGTGACCCTCAGCACAGTGGAAAGTACCCGGGAGGAGCCGAATCATCCACGGCGTCTACCCTGGCCTTAGGAACTGGGAGAGCAGAGGCTCTAGGGAGTGCTCAGGGAGATGTTCAGACAGGCCGGGGGCCCCGCCGTGGCCTCGGTCATGTGAGGCACCCACGCCACCCGATCCTGGTTAATGAATCACAACAGCTCCCAGCCATGGAATTCCCATTCCTAAAATGAGTTCTCCCAGGGGTGAACTGAGATAATGTAGATAGAATGCTGATGGTGTCTAAGAAATAAGTACTCAATAACGAATGATGGCTAGCACGGTCATCATCTTCACCATCATCATCTCCGTCATCACCATCCTCATCATCACTACCACCACCACCATCACCATCACCACCACCACCACCACCACCATCACCACCACCACCACCACCACCACCATCACCACCACCACCACCACCACCATCACCACCACCACCACCACCATCACCATCACCACCACCACCAGCACCACCACCACCATCACCACCACCACCATCACAAGCACCACCAGCACCACCACCAGCACCACCACCATCATCACCATCACCATCACCACCACCACCACCACCATCACCACCACCATCATCACCACCACCATCACCACCATCACCACCACCATCACCATCACCACCACCACCACCACCACCACCACCATCACCACCACCACCACCATCACCACCATCATCACCACCACCACCACCATCACCACCATCACCACCACCACCACCACCACCACCACCACCATCACCACCATCACCAGCACCACCACCATCACCAGCACCACCACCACCACCATCACCACCACCACCACCACCACCATCACCACCACCACCACCACCATCACCACCACCACCACCATCACCAGCACCACCACCACCACCATCACCAGCAGCACCAACACCCCCTTCCCTCCCCCCATTGTGTGGCTGGTTCTGTGCTAGGAATTAGAAAGAGAGAACTTGGAGGATACTCTAGCTCATCCCACTTTTTAAGCCATTTGGAGCCTTGCCCTAACATTGCTTACATTAGAGGAGAAAATGCCATTACGATCAACTCCCTCTCCTGCTGAGTGGACAAAGGACGGGCCGTCCTCACTAGCCTTTCTGTTGCTTCTCCCCGTTATCTCTGTCCTGACTTCTTAGAATGAACTGGCTATGATCACAGAACGTGGGCATGAGGCCACTGTGTCCCCAGCGGCCACGCCCTGGGACACTCTTCCAGGAGGCAGCAGGAGAAAGGGGGCCTGCACTGTGGGAACACTGCGTCCTTTACCCCATTCTCTTAGATCCTCAGCACACGGTCACACAGGAAGGAATTCTGCTGACACCTGCCTAACGTTGCTCAAAGCCCATGAAGTTGGGAGAGAGGAAAAATGGCAGGTCTGAGAAATGCATTTGAGCCTTCCGGGAACTCCACGGCCACATTTGTAGAGGGCAACGCGTGAGTGGGCTTAGACAGGGCTGCAATGCCCAGCAGAGGTCTCATCAGTGGAACCAGGACGGGGCACACACAGCTGGGCCCCATATCACCAGCGGGGAGACCACCGTCTCTGCTTTAGTTCCGGTCTGGAAGAACAAGACGACTCTGGCCCCTGCCTTCATGTTTGCTCCACACTTGGCAGTGATCGCAAGAACAGAAACCCTGCAGCGGACAGCCCCTGGCCCGTGGGGTGCCCACTAGCTCTGCTTCCCCACGCCCTGGCCCGTGTCCCTCCCACTTCTCTGTGCTGGATGACAAAGGCAGGCCCTACATAAAGATTAATCTTCCTTTCGATCTCTCTCTCTCTCTCTCTCTCTCTCTCTCCTGTTACACAGCTTCCCACCACCTTCTGGATTTCTTTGAAGACATCCTGGCTGCGGATGCTGCAGCACCAGAGTTGAAAATAACTCCTCTCTTCTCATTCATTGCTGCGAGAATGTCAGGTTCTCGTTCCCTCAGCCTCTCTGCAGGGCGAGTTGGCAAGAAGCAGCCGCAGTCTTCCACATGCTGGCGCCTCCTCCAGCGGCGGCCCCGGCTCTCTCCCTTCTCACTCAGTGCTTCCTCCCTACGTGACTGCATTCACATCGAGGCTTAAATTATCCACGCACCTGTGCAGCCATGCATCACCTGCCCAGTGGCACATGCTCGTCACCCAGCCAGACGTCCAGGGCGACCCCGCCTCTGGACACCTCTCCTGGGGTCTCGGAGGCACCTCATACCCATCTGCCCCTGCATACCTGGTGCTCCTCACTTTGCTTATTAATGAGGGAGCAGCACTTGTTCTCCACACACGCCAGGCTCCCAGAGGCCATGTAGACCCCCTCCTCCCCGTCACTTCCCTTCCAGCCGCCCCAGTTCCACTGCGGAAGTGTGGTGGAGTTCCCTCTTCACTGCCCCCAACTCTCCCTCCACCCCAATCCCCGCCCTGGGGCGCCCTCTGCCACCCCCAGGGGAGCCTCTCACTGGCTCTGGGGCTCCAGGACGGCCCCCTGCCAGGACACTTTCCACAGGTGACTGCTGATGCTCCTGTCCCATCAGCCCTGCCTGGAAGCCTCTTGTTGGCACCTCTCTTTGGTGGCATTTCTGCCCCAGGGCCCTAGAAGTGCACCCACGTGCAGCCCCTGCCAGCCTCCCCACCTCCACACCTGCCTCAGCTCTTTCAGACCCTGGTGCTCCCCTTACTGACCCCACCACCAGATGGCACCCTTTGCTCAGATGGTTCTCCCCTCCCCTCTTTGTGCACCAACTCCTATGCATCCTGCAGAGCCCTGCCTTCCCTGACCAGGTCAAGATGCTATGTCTCACTGCAGTTGTCTCCATCCAAGTTTTATATTTGGATGATTTTTTTTTTAGATTAATGCCCAACACACTCCTTCCCCAAGGCCATAAGCTCTAGGAAGGCAGAGATAGTGCCCATTTTAAGTTATTATTTAAGTTTTTCGAAATTAAAATACTTATTTATTTGAAAAGCAGAGAGACAGGCAGAGATCTCCCATCTGCTAGCTCACTTCTCAAACACCTGTAACAGCCAGGGCTGGGCCAGGCCGAAGCCAGGAGCCCAGAGCTCCATCTGGGCCTCCCACGCGGGTGCCAGGAACCCAGCTGCTTGAGCTATCGCCTGTGCCCCCAGAGGTGTGCTCTGTGCTGGACGCCATTCTAAGTCCTTGGTGTAGATCAACGCCACCACCGTAAAGAGTGGGTGCTCCTCATTCTACCCATTTCCAGGTGTGGAAACTGAGGCCAGTCACTTGCCCAGCTGTCTCCACAGGAAGATGCTTTAGAAGTTACAAAATCCAGCAGCACTTCCTGCGTGAACGGGAGCGAGCACCACTTCTTTTAATTTTCTTTTGTCAGGGTCGGCGCTGTGGCATAGCAGGTAAAGCCACGGCCTGCAGTGCCAGCATCCCATACGGGCACCGGTTCAAGGCCCGGCTGCTCCACTTCCGATCTCGCTCTCTATTATAGCCTGGGAAAACAGTGGGAAGACTGCCCAAATCCCTGGGCCCTGCACCCATGTGGGAGACCTGGAAGAAGCTCCTGGCTCCTGGCTTCGGATCGGAGCAGCTCTGGCCATTGCGGCCAATTAGAAAGTGAACCAGTGGATGGAAGATCTCCCTCTCCCTCTCCCTCTCCCTCTCCCTCTCCCTCTCCCTCTCCCTCTCCCTCTCCCTCTCCCTCTCCCTCTCCCTCTCCCTCTCTGCCTCTCCTTCTCTCTCTGTGTAACTCTAACTTTCAAATAAATACATAAATCTTTTTAAAAAATAAATTTTCCTTTTTCACTTTTCTCCAGGGATCACGTCCCACTTGTGTATTTTTAAGGAAAGTCCTTTCTCAAGTGGAGAAGCTGAACGAGTCTGGAGAGGGAAACCCTTGGCCGCAGCCCCGCCAAGCCCTCCCGCCAGGTGTGCCAGTGCGGGAGGATTCAAGGAGACATTTCAGAGAACCTTGGTCGGAGCTGGGCGGCTGGATGCCGAGGTCCCGGAGGAGCTGCTCCGTCTCCTCCAGCCAGGACAGCGAGAGGCCCAGGATGTCCCGTGTCACCTTCTGGAGCCCCGACACAGGTGGGCTCACCTGCAGCTGCTGCAGGAGGGCCACCTCCTTCTTCAGGTCGCTGCTGCGACAGGACGTTTTCATACAAGCCTGGAGAGAGGGAGAGAGGGAGGGGGAGGGGAAGGAGGGGGGGGGAGAGAGAGGGAGGGGGAGGAGGAGAAGGAAGAGGAGGGGAAGGGGAGGGGGAGGGGAGGGGGAGAGGGAGAGGGAGGGGAGGGGAAGAGGGAGAGGGAGAGAGAGAAAAGAAGGGAGAGGGGGAGGGAGAGAGGGAGAGAGAGATGGAGAGAGGGAGGGAGAGAGGGAGAGAGACAGATAGGGAGGGAGAGGAGAGGAAGAGAGACAGAGAGACAGAGAAGGAGGGAGAGGAGAGGGAGAGAGAGAAAGAGGGGGGAGGGGGAGAGGTAGGGGGAGGGGGAGAGAGGTAGGGAGAGAGAGAAGGAGAGAGAGGGAGAAAGGAAGAGAGAGAAGGAGGGAGGGAGGGAGGGAGGGGGAGAGAGGGAGAGAGAGAGAGAGAGAGAGAGAGAGAGAGAGAGGTGGTCACGAGGAGCCCAGACCCGTGACATGACCGCAGTGCCCAGGGCACCGGTGGGACGCAGCATTTGTAACCTAGTCAGGAAGCCAGCCTCCTGGGAAGGCCCAGTTTTAGGGAAAAAAAAAATTTGGTGGCAGGGGGGGAACTTTTTTTTTTCACTTTGATTTGGACTTCTAGTGATCAAAGCCAACCCACTTTTTAGCGAGATGCGATCCCACAGCCAAACCTCCCTGGACAATTTGGCCGACTTCTGTTCATCAGAATTCATGCCGAGATGCACGCGCAAGCTGGCCAGAAGATGTGGTTTCCTGATGTTTTGGCCCGAGTGCTGACCGCCAGTGTTTGCACAGACTCCCCAAATAGTAGCTGCTGATTTCCAGAGAAAGCAGAAACAGCTGCGGGCTGTGATGAGCCACACTCAGCCTCGGGGTCAGCCTGGGGGCGGCAGGGGTGCAGCCTGGGAGCCGCGGGGGTCAGCCTGGGGGGCAGGGGTGCAGCCTGGGAGCCGTGGGGGTCAGCCTGGGGGTGCAGGGGTGCAGCCGGACCCTTGGATCCCTACTCCCAGCCAGAGTCGCAGTCAGTGGGTGGAAACAGTGCAAATAAAGAGCAAGAACATTTCTTTGGCTTTTCTGGAAATAACACAGGGACTTTTTTTTTGTTCTTTGCTGTGACCAAGGGGCTCCCACGGTCAGTACGGTCGCCCCTCGGTATCCGCGCGGTGGGGTGGGACCCCTGTGGACACCAGTATCCACAGATGTTCAAGTCCCTTGTGTGAAGTGGTGTGGAAGCTGCATGGATCTCCATGCACCTGCCACACACCTGCTCACGGACGCGCTCTTAGATCACCTGCAGTGCCAAGTGCAACAGGAGCGCTCTGTCCATAGCTGCCGCTCTGTATTGTTTAGGGAACAGTGACGGGAAAAGTCTGCCCGTGTTCGGCACAGGTGCACTTTTCTCTGAGCAGGGCCACTCTGGTTTATGGCCAGGCACAGACTCCGCAGGTGCAGACCCGTGGGTGCCGAGGGCCGGAGGCCGGAAGAGAGGAGGCTCAGGCATCGCTCCTGGGCTTTGCCAAGTTCACCTGGGAGGGATTTTTTGAGATCCCCTTGTTCTCTGCCCTACAGCAAGAGAAAAGGTGGCTAAGAAAGCAGAGTATTTCTGCCCAGGAGGGCCCACGGAAGCTGGACCGTTTCCCCAGGAAGCAGCATAAGAGGGGACGAAGCGGACGCCCGCGGGAGGCCTGGCGAGCGGCACCTGACAGCCGTCCAGCGACGCCTTCAGCTTCTCCACGTTCTCGGCCGTCTCCTCGTGCCTGGAGTGGCTGAGCTGCGTCTCCTTCTGCAGGTTCCACCGCTTCTGCTGGAAGTTAATGTTGTCCTCCGTGACCTGGGCGATCTTCTCTATCAACTGGCGAGAAACAGAGGAAGCAAAGAGGTGGTCACGCAGGCAGGGGGCTCTGGGCCGGGGTAGGGGGGACTCCTGAAGGCCCCGGCTGGGCAGGGCAAGAGTGGAGGGAGGGCCTGGGTGAGGAGAACTTGGGTCTGGTGGCCAGGATGTGACTCCAGGAGCAGGGATTTTTCTGAGGAGCCCGAGGCCTGCGCTGTCGCCCCGAGTCTGCCCTGGGGCAGAGACTGGTCAAGCCTGGTGCTATGGGAGCATTGACAGAAGGCCCGGCCTCTCACCCCCGACAAGGGCAGCCCCCGGCCTTGCCACAGAGGACAGGAAAGGAGAGCATTAAAAGGCGACGGTCCTGCGAGGACCCAGGACAGGCGGCCCCTTCCTCCCGGGGCCAGCGGAGGGCAACCGCACGCGGCTGGTGGCCAGAAGTGAGCCTGGCAGCCTGGACTTGACTTTGGCAGCCACGTTTCGAGGGCTTTTTCACTGGCTTTTCCTTGGGAAGCCAGGAAATCCCATGAAATCAAAACACATTTTTCTGGTGTAGCAACAGTGTGAGAAATCCGGGCCACCAACACAAACAGAAGCATCTGCCGCCGGGGTCTGGCGTCCGCATCTCCGGAGAAGGGAGCGAAGGGAGGGAGTCGCCCGGTGCTGGGGGGGGTGAGAGTGGCACGGACCTGCTGGTCGGTGATGGGCTTGTCCTGGAAGGGCTTCACGCGGCCGTAGGTCGCCTTGATGATCTGGCTTCGGAAATGCTCCAGCTACGGCACAAAGCGAGGGCAGAGGTGTCAGTAGGGGCAGGGGCAAGGGGGTGTGGCCAGGAGGAACCACCCTGAGGGGTCTGCATATCCCAAAGGTCTTTGCGTGTTATTCAAAGCTTCGCCTGTGCTGGAAGTGGCGGTGCCCACAGAAGAACAGGGGACAGAGGGTTTTAATTACTTCTTAGGCAGGCTTGCCTAGTCCCACCAAGGCACGTGGTCTCTCCCCACCCCCCTCAAACATGTCTCCAGACCTCAGAAGAGCCACTTGCTGCCAGTTATCCAATGGGAAGTCTGGGGCCGGGAGCGCTTTTCTGTAATTGCTAAGCCGGCACCAGACTGTGAAATAAATATTGAGGCTGTCGGCCCTGGGGAACTGGGTAATCAGCGAAGGTGCTTGCTGAGAGAAGGCGGCCGCCGTAGGCTGTGCGAGTCCCTAGGACGTTGTCCCCTGTATTCACTGTGTGTCCCTGGAGCCTGGCTCGGGGCCTGGCACACAGCAGGCACTCAGCAAATGCTCCCCGAATGGCCGGACGCAGCCATGGCTGAGAAAGTCACGGCCGTCTGATTGAGTTCAAGTGGATCCCGGTGACGACTTCCTGGGTCCTGGCGCGTCCAGATGCAGGTGGATGAAGTAGTGCAGTCACACAAAGCCGGGGCTTAGGGACGTCAAGTCCAGGGTGTCTGGGTTCCACCAGGAGCCAGAGGCCGAGGGGCCCAGCTTCCTCTGGGAGCTCACCAACCCAGCGGCCCTGGGCCTGGGTTTGCGTCTACTGGCCAACTGAGGTCATGAAACTCGGCAATGCAGAGGCAGGAGCAGCCCCAAAGGCCAGGGAGGCAAGGGGAAGTCAGACGTCCCAGCCCAGAGGCGTCTGTGGCACACTCGGGGTTTGGGGAAAGCAGTGACCGTCCCAAGGGCCTCTCTGGGTCACCCTGCAGGGGGCCAGCCAGTGCCATGGAGACGGAGATGATCCAAGCTCCGCCCTGGTCCGGGGCCGAGGGAGGGTCCCGGCTCCCCCAGGAGTGGTCACGTACAGAGGCCCTGTGGGCGAGGCCTTGTCGCTGGAGGCTCCCCAGAGGACCAACTGCCCAGGGCGGGAGGGCCAGGTCCTTCTGGGCTGGGCTGGGTGGGCTTGGTGGCAGATGCCAGCCTTGGTGCCCCCCTGAGTCCAGGCCTGGGGAGCTGCCCTTACAGGGCTCCTCCCAAATGACCTCTGCTCAGAGCCGACCCGAGGATCGCGGCCCTTGGCAAGGGGCCCAGGCCATGCCCTCAGGTCAGGTGTGTGTTGGGGTGCAGATGGCAGAGAAGATGAGGAGGTGGCCCGGGGGGCACAGGAGAGGCAGAGACCCGCAGGCTTTCCGTCCCTGACAAGGGGCTGGCACCTGTGGGAGAGCCGTGGCCGCGGTGACCGAAGCTGCCCAGGGGCTGGTGCTGCCCTCACCCGCGGGCGCCTCTGAATGCCGGCAGTGTGGGGCCCTGGTCACACAGCCTGGTGACGGCTGGGACGGTGGCAAATGGAGGCTCTGGGAGACATACTGGGTGGCAGGGTGGGGGTGGGGGTATTTTCAGGACCATGATTCTTAACTGTTCTGGGTGGTTCCCAGACCCCTCTGAGAATCTGATGAGTGACAGGGTAGACATCAAAGCATACAGAAGTCAAAAGCATATAGGTGTGTGCACACACACATACGTGCACCCACACATGCACACACACGTGTACTCCCATGTACACACACATGCACACACACACAGAATGTTCCGTGGATCCCTGGGGCCACAGTTGCCAGGAGAGAGCCCCCACGGAGCAGTCCTCAGCAGGCCCACGTTCCACCCGGTCCTGCTTCCTGTCCTGGTTTCCTGTTTGCTCGCTCTCAGCCTTGGGGGGAAGTCTCGCTGGCCACTGGAGGAGTGGCCCTGCCCGGGGCCGCCCCCAATGTGAACCCTGCCCACTCCCGGGTTGGTGCCCTAAGGAAAGCCCTGTCTGCTCCTAGACTGTGACTGCGACATCTGCGGGGGCCCAGGGGACGAAAGACCATGGTAAATGTCAGAGCCAAAAATATTAGGAGAAAGTTCTAGAAGCACACGGGGTCTGGCGCTCAGCTGCCTGGCCAAGCTCTTAGGCCCCTGAGAAGGGGGACCTCGATGGTGATGTCCCCGGGGCTGGAAGCCCGCGTCCCCATGGTCACGGGGGGATCAGGCCGCATCCACCGCCCCCCACGCCTGCTTGGGAGCACACAAGCCTGGGGGAGGGGCTGTGAGGGGCTCTGAGCCTACCTGACCTACTGCCCTCTCCAAGTTGGTTTTAATGAGGCTCTCTCTGTTGCCCATTTCTTGCAGCTGAAGCAGTTTCCTTCTGGAATCCTCCTGAAGCTTCTCTTCAACCTGGAACGAGCGTGAAAGCAGGCGCTGCTGCTATGCACTCTGGGGACACCCTCTGGGAGGTCCGACGGCCGTGTGGGGTCCCAAAGGCGTAGAGGCAGCTGTGCCCATGCGCTGGGGCCACAGGCCTGCACAGGCAGCACCCCCTGAGTGGGGAGGGCCAGCCCCTGCCCCTTGGGCTTGGCCATGCTTGTCTAAGCCCAGCTCAGTCCCTAGCCATATGGCACTGGGCAAGTGACTACACTGGCCTGGGGCTCAGCGGCCACAGGACCTGCCCCGCCGTCACTGGGGGAGTGAGGAGGTGTAGAGCAGGGGCTGGTGCTGTGGCACAGCTGATGAAGCTGCCACTTGCGACTCCAGCATCCCATAGAGGAGTGAGAGTTCAAATCCCGGCTGCTCCACTTCTGCTCCAGCTCCCTGTTAATGCACCTGGGGAAGCAGCAGGTGGTCTGAGTCCTGGACCCCTGCCGCCCATGTGGGAGACCTGGATGGAGTTCCAGGCTCCTGGCTTTGGCCTGCCCTGGCCCTGGCTGCTACAGCCCTTTGGGGAGTGAATCGGCAAATGGAAGATCTCTCCCTCTCTAGTGCTCTGCCTTTTAAATACATAAAGTTTTTTTAAAATCATATTAAGTGCCAGCACCTTGTCAGGACTCTGCAAATGTGTTAGGCATTGTTGTCACCGATGTGAGGCCAAAGGGGGCCCCCCCAACACTTTGCAGTGTCTTTCTGATACTATAAATAACCAGCCCAGGGGGCAGCTTGGTAAGTGATACCATGTGGTTTATTATTGTGTAATAATATATTGTAATGCTGCTACTGGGTGTAGTACCATCCTTTCCACTTTTAGCACACTCGCCAACGCAGAGCAGTCTGTGAACTTGCTAAGCAATGGCTGTTGAATTATTTCAACCGGGGCTGAAGAAGCTCCTGAAGCCGGAAGCCCTGCTGCTTATTCTCCCTTGCTTGGCCTTAGACAGCGCCGGGAGCTTGGGTGTGTTCCGTGCTGCCCTCTGCTGGCCGCTATGCAGCTCAGCTCCTGTCTGAACAATGACCTTTGTTCCAGCACCTGCTGAGCCAGCGCCCAGCCCCAGCAGGAAGCCAACAACCCTCCTAAGTGCAAGGATTGGGGGCCCAAACAAATCCACAAGCTGTGAATTAGGAGGCTGGAGAGGGGCCACACAGACACAATTTTAAAAATCCAGAGAGCCCTTCTGTGCTTTCTTCCAAGCAGGGAAGGGCCCCTGTCAGCCACGTTCCCTGGGGAGTACAGGCAGCTCCTGTGGGCTGTGGCTCCCTCACTGGACAACTGGCCCTGGCCTCACTGCTTCCCAGGCCATCCCTGCGCCTCATCCCAGCAAACGGCCTCCCTGTCCCCAAACCTCAGCCCAGGGCTGTCGTCAGCGGCTCCAGGGCTGGCAGTCCTGTTCCGCAGGGCATGCCCTGCTGGGGATAGCCCCTGGCCTCCTTGCCTCTAACTTAGTTCCTCCAGCACCTCCGCCGAGGCCCTGGGGGATTTACTGAGCCCAGAGCTGTGCTGTCTGGGAGGACTTCCCGCTATGATGGAAACGCCCCTCTGTGCCAACACGGCAACCACGGCCACTTGGGCCTGCTGAGCTCTTGAACATAGCCAGCATGGCCAAGGAACCGGACTTTAAATTTCGTTGAGCTCAGATTTCCACAGTCGCGCGTGGCTGGTGGCTATGCCACAGCAACTGGGGTGGTTTTGCCACTTGTGGACTATGTGGTTCCAGGCCATTCGCTTCACTCTGAGCCTTGATTCTGTCCCCTGTGAGGTGGGCATCATAATTTCTAGATCACAGAGGTGCTGTGGAGACGAAAAGAGAGGACACGCTTGGTGCACTGCTGAGACGTGGGAAGTTATAACTGTTGCTTTCACCCCATTCTTGGTCAGGGGTTTCGTCCTAGCCATGCCTGTTCAGAAACCTTCAGGAGCTCCTCACTGCCGGTGCGGCATGTAGGCAGCCAGGCGCCAGCACACAGGCACCAGCACACGTAGGCAGCCAGGCGCCAGCACCAATGGAAAACACCAAGCCCCAGACTGATCCAAGAGCCTGCAGGCACTCCACACACGACAAATCACCACTAATCCACACCCAGATAAGTCATAATAAAGCTGCCAGGAATCTAAGGAAAGAAGATCTTAACATCTGGCGCAAACATGTTCCACAATGACACAATAGTTAGGCTTATAACTTACTTCTTTTTTTTTTTAAATATTTATTTATTTGAGAGGTAGAGTTAGAGAGAGAGAGAGAGAAAGAGGGAAAGAGAGAGAGAGACAGAGAAAGAGGTCTTCCATCCGCTAGTTCACTCCCCAAATGGCTGCAATGGCCAGAGCTGGGCTGATCCGAAGCCAGGAGCCAGGAGCCAGGAGCTTCCTCTGGACCTCCCACATTGGTGCAGGGGCCCAAGGACTTGGGCCATCTTCTACTGCTTTCCCAGGCCATTGCAGAGAGCTGGATCGGAAGTGGAGCAGCTGGGACTTGAACCTGCGCCCATATGGGATGCTGGCGCTGCAGGCAGAGGATTAACGTACTGCGCCACAGCGCTGGCCCCAATAACTTACTTCTAAGTAGAAGCCAGGCAGAGCCAAAGACAATCGAGTGATGTACTGGGTGTCGTATAAAATGTGCCATCCCTTGGGCATGCGTGTGTGGTGCAGTGGTTAAGTCACTGCTTGGGATGTCTGCACCGTGTATCGGAGTGCAGGTTCAGGTCCTGGCTGCTCTGCTCCTGACCCGGCTTCCTGCTAATGTGCAATCTGGGGGCAGCAGGTGATGGCTCAGACACTTGGGCTCCTGCCGTGTAATTGAGAGCCAGGGTGGAGCTCCTGGTCCTGGCTGTGGCCCGGCCCAGCCCTGGCTGTGTGGGCCTTCGAGGAGAGAACCCACAGATGGAGGATCTTTCCTTGTACCTCTCAAATGGAAGGTGAATAATAAGTAAAACAAGAAAAATGATGGTGAACAAAGAATCTAATACTCAGAACGTGTTTTAGGAATGAGAGGTAAACATAGTCATTTTCCAGACACAGGCACACACACATGCACACAGGCACACACACATGCACACACGGACACACATACACACACATGCACACTCACACAGGCACACAATGCATACACACCTGAACACACACGCACGCATACACACACGCCCCTAGAGAACGTTCCACCAGCAGTCACGTGGAGGACACATTAAGGGTCATCCCCCAGCAGGAGAACCACAGTTTCCAGTGGCCACTATGGAAGATGTACCAGTGAGATGTGGATATGGGTCCTGAGTGTATGACAGTGTTTTCTTGGGGCCTCAGGTAGAGAGAGACATTTAGGTGGAGCAAGTGAAGTCAGCGTCGTGTCCACAGCCATCGTGTTGCCGTGTTGTCAGGGAGTATCGGGGTTTGGCACACTGACAATGCACACGAGAATCTTCACAATAACCATGGGGGGGGGTGGTCAAAGGAGTGCAGTTTCCCAGCGGACACAGAGGGAACGGAGTGATTCAGAGAATGCAGGCTAGCACAGGAGGTACAACTGACGAGGGGCAAGATGGGAAATGGAGACCTTAATATTCCAGCAATGACATTGTCCAGAGATGGACAGACACCGCCAGTGCTATGAACAAGCCACCATTTAAACTCAGAGGTGGAGGAAGACAGGCTATGAAAATCAAGCTAGCGTAGCCAATGGGGTCATATCAGTGACAGAGACTTTAAGGGGGAAATGCCACAAGAGATGAAGCGGGCGTCTCGCGACAGCCAAGTCGGGAGTCGATGGGAGGCATTAAGACCATAAACTTATATGCACTTAGTAACTAGCCTGAAAATATGTAAAGCAAAAATTGATGATACTAAAAAACGACATAGACCAACCCACAATCTCAATGGGCTTAAGAAATGCCTCTCAGTGACCGGCAGAATACATAGAAAATCAGTAAGAGCAGCTGAGTTTCGAATATCGTCGGCACCAGTGACTTCAGGGCCACATGTAGAATGCTACGGCCGTGACCACACAACACATACATAAGGTGCCCAGGTGGAGCCGACACCAACACACACACGCCCTGGAGTGAGTCTCATCAGTAACAAAGGATGGAGACCACAGAGAACATTCTCGGGCCACAGTAAGGACATCAGGGACAAAAGGAAACCAGAAAACACCTCATGTGTTTAGAAATCAGGAGACAACTTCAAAGTGACTCTTGGGTCAAAGAAGAAATCAATAACGGGGTTTGGAAACGTTTTGACCTGATGGAAACACTATGTATTAGAATGTGTGGCGTGCCGCTAGGGCCTTGCCTGGAGGAAGATTCATAGCCCGGACAGTAGTTTGATTCCATGGTCTTGACTACGACTGTGCTAATAAAACATACACCAAGTAGATCCACTCGTCTCCTGAAATTATTTTCATCTGAATCAATTCTTTCTCTGGGTAAATTTCACAATTATGATTTGTTTTACTTATGAAGGCACTTCAAAAAGTGCATGGAAAAATGAAATAAAATATGAAATTCACTTGGTGTCAACATTTTGAAATCCATGCATATGAGGGGTCTTTAAAAAGTACATGGAAAATGCACACTATGAAAAAAATGAATGGATTTTACAATATTTTTGCACCAAAAAAAAAACAAAAACAAAAACAAAAAAACCACATCTTTGGGTCCTGTTTTCCACAAACTTCTTAGTGCACCGTTGTGTAAGCTTTTTTGGTTCCTATCAAAGCTTTGCCGATCACAGCTCTGTCATCGTGGGTTTTATTCTGTGACCCTCACTTCTCCCAAGTCTGTTTTCTCCAGATGAGATTTTGTCTGAAATCTGCAGTCAGCGGCAAGAGCCGCCCGCGTGGTTTTAACGGTTGGGTTTACTTGGTGTCGACTGTTTCTGCCGCGTCTACCGTCGCACACTTTGCCGTCCTCAGCTACGTGGGCTTCATCAGACGCTTCCTGTCCGGCCCACATTCTGGCCTGTGAGGTCTGAATGGCTGTAGCTGCCGGTGAACACGTAAGAAGTGCAGGGAACGCGGGCTCATTCGCTGTCATTCTCACCCCTGAGCTTTCTGCTCAGCCAGAACCCCCACGCCTTCCCATTTGCTCTGAAAACAGCCTGGTCCCTCCAAGTGAGGCCAATGGTTCCAGCTGAGAGGGCGGGTTCTGCCCGCCTGGCTCAGGCTCCCGCCAGTTAATTCCAGTTTACAATTTTTTAAAACATGCGAGACCTGGAAACACATTGTGCATGACTCTGCACGTGATGACCTTGTCAGAGAGGCTGCTCACTGGCGGCTTACATTTGCAGGGTTGGGGAGTGCCCAGCCCTCGGACTGTCCAAGGCCGTGAGTTCATGGTGTCTGGCCCCGCTGCGGCCACTGCGGACGGGGCGCCACAGCCGACACAGCCACCGCAGGCTCGTTGTGCACGGCCCGCGGATGGTGCTGTGAACACCCAGACGGCGCTTGGCAGAAGCAAGGTCCCATACGTGGAAGCCACAGGGCTCTCCACGATGATGGACACGTCCTCCATCTGTGCCGTCCCGGACGGCGGCCGCTGCTGCTCTGGGCACCTGCAATGCGGCGCCAGCCAAGGAACTGAATCTTTTTTTTTTTTTTTAATTAAAAACACTTTTTTCTACCTGACATAAAGAAATTGTGTGTATGTCCTGGGTCCCGTGTGATGTCTCCAGGCGTGCGAACGTTGTGTGAAGTCGACCCAGGGTCAACATTTGTATGTCCTAAAACCGAAAATTCCCTGTCCATGAAAACATCCAACTCCTTTCTTTCGGTTGGAGAACCACACACCACCCAGGGCAGAGCGCTGCACTCACTCCCCCTGACTTCTAAGTAATTAAGTAACCCTGGGTGAGTGAGGCTGCTGTGACGGAGATCATGGGTGTACAGCACACGCAGCTCACATTAGTCCCCAGGGATGACAGAAATGTGTGTGCATGCGTGTGCGCAAGCTTGCGTGTGCGAGCACGTGCGTGCAAGCACATGTGCGTGTATGAATGCGTGTGTACATATGCGTGCACGTGTGCATGCATGCATGTATGTGCCTGCATGCGTGTGCGTGCGTGTGCATGTGTCTGTGTGTGTGCACGCGTGTGCCCATGCAGGTGATAGTAAGACAACCAAGCAACGCTAAACCCGCCAGCACCTGGAGGCGGGGCCGGATCTAAGGACAAGCAGGCCGTGGTTGTTTCAGAAGGCAGTCTGGAGCAGGGGACCCACGCGAGCTCAGAGCTGGACCTGGGCTCCCTGAGTGACCGGAGCGTGGCTCTGCCTCTGAGCCTGCCTCCTCTCAGCCAAACAAGCGGGTACTACCGGCTCCGACCGCACGGGGCCGCTGTGAGCACGCGCGCGCGCGCGCGCGCGCAGCCCTGCCCGCACCGGTCAGCAGCCCGTACCTTGCTCTTCTCGCGCAGCGTCTTGGAGATGGCGGTCTGCTCAGAGCAGCTCTTCCGCAGCTCCTCCCTGAGCCTCTTGATCTCCTTCTCCATGTCTTGCATTTGCTGAAAAAATTTCAACAGCAGAGAAGTCAGCTTCCGAGGGGCGGAGGAGGGGCTCCAGGGGCTGTTAAGTCTGACCTCGGCTAGTGGGTCCCTTCTACAGCTGCGGACAAAGCTGACATCCACCCCCCTCCCCCAATTAATGCACAATCTGTCCTCGAAAAGATCACGAAAAATGCGCGGTATGAAAAAAAAAATGCATGGATTTCACAGTTTTGCAGCAAAATAACTTGTCTTCCAATTCCATTTTCCATGCTAATGAAAGCGCACCTGGCGGCGGGCAGGAGGTCGAGGGAGACCCACGGGTCTTTTTGTCTTTAAGAGTTGGTGTAAAGTTGATGCATTTGAGAAAAAATACGTAAGAGAGAAGTTTGTGCCGAGAACAGTGGTGTGCCCGTGATAAAACTGGCGGCAATGGAGCCTTGGGAAGCCCGGGTCCGGGGCCCTTGGGCAGCAGGCAGTGGCAGGCTGGCCGGCCTCCTGTCCCCAGCGCTATCCTTGAGCCAACCCCAGCCCAGCCCCGGGGGAGCCCCAGCAGGGAGGTAGAACCAGCTGCCCCAAGAGTCCTTGTCTTCCTGGGTGTTCCCATCCCATCTCCTGCTTGGGGCTGGAGGCTGAGCCAAGTTCAAGGCTTACAAGGCTACGGACATAGAGCCCCAGAGCCTTGTGCTTTGTCGTGGGCCCAGGGCCCCAGGTCAGAGTCCGGTGTCTGGGGGGCCCCCAGGGCAGTCCACTCACGGCTCTGCAGACTCTCAGCTCCTGCTCCTGGGTCTCCCTGAGCTCCCGCTGGGCGTCTTCCCGCTTCAGCTCTTCTTTCAGTGCTGAGCACTGTGGGAGCGGGAAGGGCAGCAGGGTCAGAGGCTGCGGGTGGCCGCGGCAGGTGGTGCCCGAGGGATCCCAGGCTCACGTGGACCCCGAGGGCGCCCCCTGCTGCTTCAGGGCAGTCACACACCCAGACTCAGAGGGCGAGACCGCGGTGTCCGGTGGGGCCCGTGACCCTGCAGTGGCCCCTAGGTGGGCCCCTCTCGAGACCTGATGACAGAGGCTGCTCAATGCGTTTCCTTCTTCTTCTTCTTTTTAATGAATTTTAAATATTTCTTTGAGAGGTAGAGTTATAGACAGAGGGGGAGACAGAAAGAGAAGTCTTCCATCTACTGGTTCACTCCCCAAAAGGCCGCAATGGCAGGAGCTGGGCTGATCTGAAGCCAGGAGCCAGGAGCTTCTTTCACATCTCCTATGTGGGTGCAGGGGCCCAAGGACTTGGACCGTCTTCTACTTCCATCTTCCAGGCCATAGCAGGATGCTGGATCAGAAGAGGAGCAGCTGGGACTAGAACTGGCGCCCATATGGGATGCCCGTGCCACAAGTGGAGGCTTAGCCCACTATGCCACAGCACCGGCCCTCAAGGTGTTTCCAAAGGCCAGCAGTCTAGACCAGAAGAAAAACACGGCTGCGTGGGGTTCAGGTCCAGGAGCCCCCGTGAGCGTGGATGGACCACGGTGCTTCCTGCCCACTGCTTCTCAGGGCTGGAACTGCCCGGCCTCGCTCTGGGCAGTGTGGGGGGAGGGATGAAGGGTGTGCCGTTGTGACTTCTGTTCGCCCCAGTTCTCCTGTGGGAGTGCAAGCTAAGGACCAGGGCGGGGGAAGTCAGTGAAGGCCGTGGTTCCAGGGCGCTCTCAGGATGGGCAGGAACGTGCCCAGCAGCGATAACAAAGAGGAACCCACTCTGCCCAGGACAGGTTGCAGTCTCACAGGGTGCAGTGTGCATGCACGAGTCTACCGCAGAGCTTCCCACAGCCACGGCAGAGCTGCAGGTCGGCAGAGCGGGACGGCAGTGTTACATTGCACAATACGGGAGCCGGCGCTGTGGCCTGGTGGGTTAGGTCGCAGCCTGCGGAGCCAGCATCCCATATGAGCACCGGTTCCTGTCCTGGCTGCTCCACTTACGATCCAGCTCCCTGCTGATGCATCTGGGAAACCAGCAGATCTTCCAAATGCTTGGGCCCTGCCCCCCCATGGGAGACCCAGAAGAAGCTCCTGGCTCCTGACTTTGACCTGGCCCAGCCCTGGCCATTGCGGCCATCTGGGGAGTGAACCAGCAGATGGAAGACTTCTCTCTCTCTCTGTCTCTTTCCCACCCCCCTCTGTAACTCTGCCTTTCAACTAAATAAATAAATGTCTAAAAAAGTTTTACTGTGCGTGTTCTGTACAACCCCACTGTCAGAGCTGCGTCTGCAGATTGTCTGGGTAGCGCACAGAAACCACAGGGACGAACCCCGAGTTTTCAGAGCGGTGTATCTTTCCTTCTCTTTCTGACTTTGCTTTCCAATAGTATGCACCTCTTTTTCTAACATTCACACACATGACACGCGCATGTTAGCGAAACGCAGGTGTTTCAAAGGTTTGTGATGCAGTGCCCTTGGGCACAGGAGAGAGGAGACCCAAGGTCAAGGAGAAAGGGGAAGTGAGGACGAAAACAACCCAGATGCACTCGGAAGGTGGGATAGGTCAGCAGGTGCTACTTTCCTCTTGTTCTTCCCCCAGAAGCAACTCCAAGGCCCACTCCCTTCCTCAACACAGGAACACACACGTGCACACACGCACACACATGTACACACACGCACACACATGTACACGCGCACACATGTACACATGTACTCACGCAGAGGCATGCACATGTGCTCATACTTGCTCATGGCACACACACATATGCACACACATGTGCATACGTAAACACGCTCGTGTGGGCCCCCTGCACACACTCACCACATAATACAGCACTCCCATGTAACCCAGGAAGTCTGTCTGCTTTGGAGTAGCGAATGCAGAGGGTGTGGCGAGGCAGAACTGGGGCCAACCTCTCACTTCGCAGAAAAAGAGTTTGTTACCCCCATCTGGCAGATGAGGAAGTGGAGGCCGAATAAGTTCCAAAAAAAGCAAGCTCTGGGATTGGCCCGCGTCTGCCTGATGCCTGCTCACGCCCTGCCCTTCCTCGGCCCCGGGGGGGGGGGGGGGTATGGTGATGAATGCAACTTGTCGCCCGGGCAGTGGCCTTGTCATTGACCCTCGGGAGCCAAGCCCACCTCAGCTCCCACGCAGACCCGACTAACCCATCAGGTGGGCACCATCGATCTCCATGGCTGGCCCTGGGTGGGGGAGGGCTTTAGGCTCTCCTTTGACAAGCCACAGACATGCTGAAAAATCTTACCCCCAGGCTAGGTTACCCCCAGGCTAGGTTCTGAAATCAGTAGGGAAGGCAAAATTTGCCAACAAAGTCACGTTTAAAGCCCTCAGCTAGGCTCTCCGTCCACCTCACACAGAGCAGTCTGCACTCTCAGGTCTAAGGGAAGAAACGGAAGTTGGCACATCTGCATCTTGACCTTGACCCCTCTGCGTCTTGACCTTGACCCCTCTGTAATGGTGACTGCCGCTTGCGGTGACAGAGACGAGGTGAGGCTCTCACAGCCCCCTTGGCGCGCCCTTCGAGATTCTCCTCTGTTTTCCCACCAAGCCTTGCCGTGGGAACACACGCGGACAGGTGCATGCGTGGCTGGGATGAGCTGTGAGCTGATGAACAACAGGTGCACCCACGCCTCGCGGGTTCCGAGCCTGTGCACGCAGCTCTCTGAAAGGCTCCAGAGCCCCGGGCCCCTCCTTGGCTCTTTCTAGCTGGGCATCTCCTGCTTCGGGCCACCCGGAAGCCGCCCTACTTCTGTCCCTTGTGCACTGGCCCAACGCCCCGCGGTGTGAGAGGAGGGAGTGAGGTGGGAGGCCAGGCCGGAGGTAAACCTCTAGTGGCTCCTGCGGCGCCGCCCGTCACCCGTGGCCCCGGGAAGCTGAGCGGCCGCCGACACTCACCCTGGAGCCCAGGGCTTCCAGCTGGTGGTCTTTCTCTTTGTTCTGGCTTTTCAGCTGATCCAGCTCCTCCTTCAGCTGTTGAACTTGCTCATTCCTGGCTAACACGTCCTTCTGCAAAGATGACACCATTCCTGTGGGAGGGGTGGGAGAGGCCCAGCCAGCAGTCAGGACGGTGCCGTCGCTGCCACTGTCACCACCGTGCGCACCGGCCTGGTGCCGAGGAAGGTGTCCCCACGCACCCAGAAGCTGGGGTGGGGCCGAGACCAAAAAGCCCCCCGGACATTGACTGCTTAAGGTCTCGGTGGAAACAGGATCAGTCATGGGGTGTTGCCTGGGGATTGCAGAGGGAGGAGCCAGGAGCGGCCATGGGGTCGGACTCCTGGTGCAACACCTCAGGGGCTGGTGACAGGGGCTGCGGTGGCATGGGGTGGGTGGGCAGAGATACACCCTTTGCCGAGTTTGGAATCTGTCTCTACACTTCTCGGCTCAGTGCTCTCGGGCAGGTCACTTAGCCTCCCACGGAGTCCACGGAGCTACTCTAAAGGCCGAAGGAGATGGAGGAGAAGCCCAGCAGAGCGGCCGACACCAGTGCCCGCTGTGTGGTCCCTGTCCTTATTTGCTGTAGCTTCCACCAACTGCCCCAGCAGTCCCCGCCTCCTGGGGTTTGTGCCCCCTTGCAGCCCCCTCCCCACCTGCACAGGGCTGGTGGGTGCAGCCAGTGGGGATACTGTGGAAACGGTGGCCGTCACCACCCAGGCTGGCATGCAGAAGGCCCTGTGGCTTCCTCTTTGCTCCCTCTGTCCGGGGCAAGCCAACCGCCATGTTGGGAGGACGCGCAAGCAGCCACAGGGAAGGCCCAGGGGAGAGGAACTGAGGCCTCCAGCCCACAACCGCCCGCGTGAGCCCTTCTGGAAGGGGATCCGCCAGCCTGCGGCCTCGTGCGCGACCCTGAGCCGGCTGTCAGTCGCCCCACATTCCCGAGCCACAGACACTGGGTGAGGTCGTGTGTGTTGCTGTTTTACCCCTGAATGTTGGGACTAAGCTAATGCTAACCCATTGCTACGTTATCGGGGTGAGGAGTGGTGGGAAGAGCGTACAATCAAGGCCGTGGCACTGGATTCTCTCACGTGGGTCTTCTCTGGGCAGGACATCCGTCCCAGTTTAGTGGCAGGTGTCAATCGGGGACACACACTAAAGAACACTAGGATCCCGAGTTTCATAAAAGAGAGCCCAGGCCCGGGATGCGGCCGAGTTCCATGGAAGCAGGTGGATCCCTTTGGGGCTGGCCAGAGAGCCCTGTCCGGCCAGACCGGGGCGGCCCTCGGGCCACAGCTCACTCAACCTCAGGACCCAGACAGGCTTTTCGGGTCTCTGCCGAATGCCTCGTGCGTCTACGAGGTTTCTCCATCCCGAGAGTGGGAGAGGAGGTTCCCTCTGCTCAGCTGAGACTTGTCGGGGGCCCTCTGCAGATATGGGGGCGCTCTGTGTAGCCCCTCCCCATGCCCTGCCTGCACTCTGCTTCCCCTGTTCCATGGGGAGACCCCTGGGCTCCACGCGGGATCCCATCCCCCTCCCCACTGTGGCCTGGCCACTCTGTCTTGAGGCCCGAAGCTCAGGCGACCATCAGGCTCATCCCATTTTGAGGGTCAGGATCAAGGTCATGGGCTTCTCGGGTCCAACAGCAGAAAGCCACTGTTTCAGGTTGTGTCTCTGTTTTGCTTTGGCCGGTTTTCTCGGGTGGAAGAGTGAATCCAGTGCCTGTCCCTCCCTCTGCCCTGTCACTGTGGAAGAGGTGTGGTGGCCTCTGTTGGCCCCAGTCCCTGAGTAGCAGAGCCCCTCTGGCCGGCGGGGTGGTGGGGAGAAGGTACCTGAGGCCGGAGCTGGACAAGCACCTGGCCCCCTAAGCACTCAGCCTCTGTGACGGCACCGGCACCCAGCCTGGCACAGCTCACGCCCAAGTGCACAGGCAAAACACCCAGAGAGCGGTGCGCGTGCAGATTCTGCCCGGAGGTCTGGCCGGGTGGGATCAGTGCTCAGCAGGTCTTTGTGTTAAGAGAGAACCTTTGGGGCTGGTGCTGTGGCATCACAGGTAAAGGCACCATCTGTGATGCCAGCATCTCATATTGGTGCCGGTTCAAGTTCTGGCTGCTCTGCTTCCAGTCCAGCTCCCTGCTAATGCGCCTGGGAAAGCAGCAGCAGATCAACCAAGTGCTTGGGCCCCTGCACTCACATGGGAGACCCGGAAGAAGCTCCTGGTTCCTGGCTTTGGATCAACACAGCTCTGGCCATTGTAGCCATCTTGGGAGTGAACAAGTGGATGGAAGACTCTCTTTCTTTCCCTTTCTCTCTGTAACTCTGACTTTCAAAATAGATAAATTTGAGAGAGAGAGAGATAGAGAGAGGACAGAGAACCTTTGCTGCAGAATTCATCCAGGGCTGACTCTGTGCTGGGAACTGGATGACAAAAAACCTCTTGGAGGATGAATGATAGTCACTGCTGAGGCTGCATCCAAGTTCCCAGAGCAGAAGTGTGGTGGTTGATTGGTGATGTCTGCCATGGCCGTGGCCATGGGGTTGGGGTGGGAGCTCCCGGGCCCAACTCCAGAAGCTCACCGGAGGCGATCTCATTGTTCTTCCTTAGGTTCTCACCCTCGGTCTTCAAGGATGTGATCTCCGAGTTCCGCTCGGACAGGGTCTGGCATAGTACCTGGCTGTAGCCTTTCTGCAGGGCACTGATCTGCGGGAGGAGGCAGCACACAGTCAGACGGGGGAGGCAGCACACAGTCAGACGGGGGCCAGCCCAGGTCTGCGAGGTGCACGGGCGCTCAGACACATAGACTCGCATTGCGCTTCCCGATGGGGTGTTGGGGAAACCGAGTTTTCTGGGCACAGGTGAGGGTCTGTTCATTCAAGGGCTGCCACTTCCTGTGTGATCAAAACATGGATCTTATCTTTGCGTCCACAGTCGGGCCCAGGCCCAGCTGCTGCTGTGGGCACCTGGTTCCTTCCCGTGAGTCCCTCCAACCTGCGGATGCTCAGCCACAAACAGGCGTTGTTTCCAGATAACCTGGCAGTGAATGGATCCCGCGCAGAGCTCAAGAGAGGGGCTCAGGCTCTTAAACTAAGTAATAGAATCAATATCCATCAATAATTGGCATAGAAGATGAATAATTATTAATTAATATATTGATGAGTGATTAATTGATACAAATGACAGTAAGGTCACGTCTCATAGAACATTCCAGAACTCACAAAGCCCACACACAGGCACTATTCTGTCCACAGAGCCTCTCAGTGCTCTGAGTGGGGTTCCCCAGGCGGTTCCCGATGTGTGGGTGCAGTCGCCGGCTCGTGCTGGCTGGGCTGGTTGGAGGGGGTGCTCCGGCCCAGTCCAGCCTTTAGGAGGCTGGCCCACTGCGTCCCAGCCCCCGGCAGCAGCTGCAGGGCCCCGCCTGGGCTTGGAGAGGGCCCTGGCCTCTCGGTTCTGTCTCTGCCACTGAGAGCCCTCCTGGATGCAGGGAGGCCACCCTGGTTTTTCACTCTATAGGTGGGGGTGGGGGTGCCGGCCTCACGGCACCGTGGAGAGTTTCATTGAGTCAGTGCCTGCCAGGGTGCCCAGACCACGCAGGTGAGAGCCGCGGTTACCGCACGGCGTTTTAGCTGTGGCGTCTCCTGCCGGTCTTGGGGGGAGGGACATGGGTGAGATTTTGTGTGCATCCACAGCCTTCTCTTGGCTCAAACACTAACGTGATCGTGACTTAGGTAAAATACAAGAAGTCCTGCTAAGGACGTTGAGGGCACCGGGCGCACCGCCACCAGAGGGCGCTCATGGTCTGTGTTCTTGGTGTCCGCCCTGCAGCCCTGGGATTGCCGCTCAGTGTTAACAGGAGCACCTGCGCCGCGAGGTCTACAGGGCTTGTCTATCGCGGTCTGCATTCCAGCCACTCGGGGCGACTGCACTTACTTTTCTCTGGAGCACCTGAGGCACTGGGAAAGCGGTGGTTGTGAGAAGGGGGGGCCAAGGTCACTCTGTCCCCACCCTCCCCTGACTCCTTTTACAGGGTTGTGCTTTGCAAAGTTGGAGCGGGGGAAATACAACTCTCTCCTAAAAGACTTTGGGATTTTCTTTAACGTTTCTCCTTCATGCTTTCACTTGTACGATTCCAGAGACACAGTACGGAAACTTCCAGAAGCGATGGGAAGACTGCCCCTCCCCAAGGCTCCAGGCTGCCTGATGGAAAGTATTTCAGTCTAAGTGCTGGGGCACTTAGGGCTGGGACTTGGGGTTCCTGATCGCGAGACAACTCCACGCGGTCATTACTTCTGCTACCGACGTAAATACCCGCGTCGCTGTGATGGGCATAAATCCCACAACGCTCAGTGCCTGCTCTGTTGTGTGACACAGCGCACACTGGGCCGCAGGCTATTAACAGCGCCAGGAAGGGCGGTGGCTCCGGGCTGGTAACCCCGCTGCTGTCACGGTGCACGAGCGCTTGCAGGCCTCGTGGCAGTGGGTCGCAGATCCCGGAGAGCGAATGGCCAGGCACATGGTTTCAGGGGCTGGGGCAGGGGGAGGGGGGTGTGCAAAGGAACTTCCAGAGGTATAGATCAGCCCACCACGCGGCTGTCACTTCCGGCTGAACGTTCCGCTGGCTATGTGGCCCTGAAGAACTGGACTTGGATTCAGACCAACTGCAGCCTCCAGGGCTGCCTTGGTCGCCGGGGGAGACCATCGAGTGGGGGGCCGAGGCCTGGGGCACATGACTTCCCACACAGCACTAGACATTTCAGCATTTTTGTAGAAAAAAATTGTCATTTTGTTTGAAAGGCAGAGAGGGAGAGAGAGAAAGAGACACAGACACAGAGAGAGAGAGACACAGAGAGGGATCTTCCATTCACTGGTTTACTCCCCAAATGTCCACAACAGCTAGGGCTGGACCAGGCCAAATGCAGGAGCCCAAAACTCAGTCCAGCTCTCCCATGTGAGTGGCAGGGGCCCTGCTACCTGCGCCATCAGGAAACTGAACCCAGGAGCGGAGGCGGGACTCGAACCCAGGCGCCCGGATGTGGGATGCGTGTATCCGAAGCAGCGTCTCAGCAGCCCACCCCGTCTCTAGACACCTTAAGCAAGACTCAGATCAGGACCCAGGAGACGTGAGAATTTATCATGCTCGCTCCTGGCCCAGGAAAGCTCCGAGTGGGAGAATTACTGGAAAGGCTACTTCTCCATCTGATTGCAAAACCGGGCTCCCAGCCTGAGAAAGCCGCTGGGTGTGGAGCTAAGGACAGGGCCGAGCAGCGCCGGCAGGAGCCGTTCCCCCGTGGCTGCCACCCACGCTGCCCTCAGGAGTGGTTCCCGCAGAAGGCTGTTCCTTTGTTGAATTATTGCAGCACACGCGTGTTTCTTCCCTTGTGTGTTCTGTCTCCCTCATCGGAACATCACGGGGTAGGGGAAGGCAGGGTTCACGTCTGCCCTGGTCCCTGCCGAACTCCCAGAGCCTGGAAGAGCATGTGGGACAGGATCCTATTAAACAGAGCTCTGGCGGGCGGCTGGGCCCAGCCCTGTCCCTGCGGGGCTCACGGTCTCTGATAGGATCTCCTGGCTTCCCGGAGCAGGAAGGACGTCCGTCCTCAGGACACTCTGTCCAGGACTGAGACTGGGCACCTTGAGCTGGGTATAGAAGAGAAAGGCCACGGGCAGGGAGGGAACCAGTGGAGGGAGGCCCCAGGCACCAGGGCAGGGTATTTTAACAATGTATTTATTTAACACATTGAGAGAGAGAGAGAGAGCAAGAGAGAGAGAGAGAGCGAGCACTCCCATTCACTGGTTCACTTCCCAAGTCCTCACAATGGCCAGGCTGGGCCAGGCTGAAGCAGGGAACCAGGAACTCAGGCCGGGTCTCCCGTGTGGGTGGCAGGGCCCAACCACGGGAGCCATCCCCTGGGAGGCTGGAATCAGGAATGGGGTCAGGACTTGAACCCATCACTGCTTATGGGATGTGGACCTCCTAGCAGAGTTGCAATCATCAGGCCTCTAGACACCCATCCCCATGACAGCATTGAGACCAAAATTCACCCATCCCCTTGAGATATAACTTACGCATGCAACTCAATGGCCAGTTCTAAAAATTCCTAAAACAAAACAAATCCAGCAGGAATTTGGATCCAGTTTCAGAGAACGGCAGGATGACCGGAACGATCCAGGAATTCCAGGTGAAGAATCTTTGTTTGAAGAGATTTCCCTTTGGTGACACAGTAATGCCTTCAGGAGCTACAGGAAGACCCCTGTGGGTGGGACACCGTGGGATTCCCTCTCTGCCGCTGGGGCCCGTGGGTACCAAAGTGACAGCGCTGGGCGGGAATGAGAAGCAGGGGTGGAGGACGTGAGCTCGTCACACTGCTCCCCTGCAAGCTCTAGCCCGTTCCTGGGCGGCTCGGGGCCTGCTCAGTCCCCTCAGCTGCGGGACGGATGCGTCAGGGAGTGTGAGACTCACGTCAACACGGACGTAAAGCACTTTGTTCCAGTGCTTGTGTGCAGCGGGAGCTTAACACATGCTGACGTCAGGGGCCAGCATTCGGCCTGGCAGGAAAAACTCCCCCTTCCTGCTAATGCAGAGGCTGGGAGGGAGGGGTGAGGCTCGAGTCACTGGGCTCCTGCCACTCATGGGGGCACCTGGACTGCGTTCCTGACCTCACTCCAGCCCTGGCCTGGCCCCAGCTATTGCGGGCGCTTGAGGAGTGAACCTCTGGATAGGGGCTCTGTGTGCCGGGCTGGTGCCTGTGCGAGTCTCTCTGCCTGTCCAGTGAAGAAATGCTAAAAATACCAATACTGCGGGTGAAGCAGCTGCCTGCGTCCCTGACATCCCCTGTGAGCACCAGTTTGCATCCCGGCTGCTCCACTTCCAATCCAGCTCCCCGCTAAGGGGTCTGGGAGAGCAGCAGAGGATGGCTTGAGTGCTTGGGTCCCTGCTACCAACATGGGAGACCCACATGGAGTTCCTGGCTCCTGGCTCCTGGCTTCAGCTTGGCCCAGCCATTGTAGCCATCTGGCGGGTGAACCTGTGGATGGACGACGTCTATCTCTCCCTCTATCACTTGCCTTTCAAATAAACACAATAAATCGGTAGGGAACAGCATTGTGGCACAGCGGGTTAAGCTGCTGCCTGCAACTCCAGCATGCCGTATGAGCACAGGTTCAAGTCCAGCTACTCCACTTCAGATGCAGCTCCCTGCTAATGCACCTGGGAAAGCAGTGAAAGATCCCCTGAGTACCTGGGTCCCTGCCACCGATGCAGGAGCCTTGGAAAGGTTTCCTGCCTGATGCAGCCCAGCCGTTGTGGGCATTTGGGGAGTGAACCAGCAGATGGAAGATCTCTGACTCTCCTTCTCTCTCTGTAACTCTGCCTTTCAAATAAATAAATTTTTTAATTAAAAAATACCCATATTGTCTGAGATCCTGTGTAGCTTCTGGTCCTGTGGGTGCGTGGTCCTGCCCGTTCTCCCACCTCTCTCTCTCGGGGGCCGGCCTCGGCTCTGCCCCACGAGCTGTCCCCCTGCATGGCGGCTCCAAGGCTGCGACCGACTGGCTTCCGAGGCCTACCTGGCTTTTCAAGCTCTGGATCTCCTTGTTTTTGGCCTCGATGTCGTCATCCAGCACATGGAGCCCGTGTGCGCCGTGCCGCTCGCTGTGCCGGCAGGCGGCCGCCTCGGACAGCCTCTGGCTGAGCAGGGCCACCTCGTTCTGCAGGCCGGCGATCACGGCGTCTTTGTACTTGGCTTCGATTTCGAAGTCCGAGAGCCGGTTGACCTCTTTGCCCAAAAGCAGGATTATCTCGTCCTGGGTGGGGACCAGACAGGGGCGCTCACTGGGCGTAGGACCAGGCAGGAGGCCGAGCCCGTGCAGAGCCCTTTCGGGCAGGTGAGGGCAGGCAGGGAGGGGGGAGGCAAAATTCCTGGGCTGCCTCCGTCACTCCCAGAGAGGCATGGAGACGTCCCCAGCCCCGAGGTCACCCTTCCTGTGAGAACCACGGCCCTGCTGGGGGACTTGGGCTGCCAGAAAGTTCACTTAGAATATTTTTAGGAAATAAACTCATAGATCTGCACACGGCGGACCAGGAAAGGTAATTAGGGGAATGACATCCTGTCCCACCGCATTCTGCCTATCGCAGAGATGCTCTGTAGTTTTAAATAACTGAGCATATTCGCGACCACTTCTTTCCCCTTTCTCCCCTCCTGGTGCCACCTGTCCCTTCTGGTGAGTCACGTAAACTCTGTGCCCCGTAACTGGGTCTGGAGGGAAATGTTGGAGCAATGGTGACTTCTCTGTGGGGCTCCCAGAAAAGTCGCCACCTGCAGGCATCATTCACCCAGGCTCCCCTCCGCAGAACAGACAGCTCTGGAGTCAGAGGACTGGTTAGGTTTCCCCAGAAAGAAAAAAAAAATCCCTTGCACTTTCTACCAGGAGTCATCAGTAAAGAGTCTGGAAGATGGGAGAAAAATTTCCCAGGGGTATTTTCCTACACAGCTGCAGGATCTCCTGGGAGAACTTTTATTGATTTGTTTAAAAAATACTTGTTCACTGCATTTGAAAGGCAGAGAGAGAGAGAGAGAGAGAAAGAGAGAGAGAGAGAGAGAGAGAGAGAGAGAGAGAGAAGAGAGGGAGAAAGAGAGGGAGAAAGGGAGAAAGAGAGAGGGCGACGCTCGCATTGCTGGTTGACTCCTGTCTCCTGCGTCTCAGTCAAGGTCTCAGGAGTGGGTGAAAGGGACCGGGGCTTGAGCCGCCGCCTGCAGCCTCTGAGGGCCTTAGCAGGTGGCTGGATGAGAACACAGCTGGGACTCAAGCCAGGCACCCTGATGGGTTCACAGGCAACTCAACAGCTGTGCCGAACGCCCGCCCCCACCACGACTTTTAGGAAACCCCGCCCTTTCAGCAATTTCTGCTAGTTGCAAGGAGATCAAATGGGTACGTCTTGGCCAGCTGACCTCTGGCTCCCTACCCTGGGGGAGGCCAGGGTGTCATTGCGGGGAAGCCCGCGTGGCTTTGCCAGCTGCCACCACGGGTCTCCCTTCGCTGGTGGTGAAGCCTCAAGGCATGGCTTGGATTCTGTGTGGAAGTGTGGACTCGCCCCGCTCCATCCCGTAAGAGCCACCGAAAGTCTCTACGCCCAGCCACGTGCTCATTCACTATTCACTCAACAAACTCAAGAATTGAGCACCTACTATGTGCCAGGCCCTGTGCTGGGCGCTGCAGCACAAAGCAGCCTGCAGGGTATGAGGCTGTATTGCGTTGGCGCCTGCCTTTCTGCTGAGCAGCCTGCGCCCCTTCTCACGGGAGCACCCCCTCCCCAGGCCCCTTCCTCATGGACACACCCTGCTTCTTGCTGTCTCCCAGCTCCGTGCACAGGCAGCCTTCTGTTGGTCAACCCAGGGCAACCTGAACATGGTGGTTCAGCCAGGAACCAATCAGCAGTGGCCTCACAAGGCACTCACGTTACCTGGAGAAGTTGGGAGTGTGGCCCCAGAGACCCCTCACCTTGTCCTGCTGGCCCAGGTCGTGGTCCAGGTAGATCTCTGTGGGGGGCACGGCCCCAGGAATCCCCTCGGCCACGGACTGCTCCGACATCTCCATGGCACTGGTCCACACTAAGGCGGAGGCAAGGAGAGGGGGCACAAAAGGCCCGTGAGCTCCCCGGGCCAGCGGAACTGCCAGCCGGCCCTCACCTTCCTTGGCCCTCTGAGAGCCGCATCGTGCCTAACGCGAGAATTACCCAGTGGCACGCGGAAGCCGGAAACCGGGGAAGGGGAGGAGTCAGCGCCTCTGTGGCCCCATTACGCAGCACGCCCTTTCCACTCCGACCTCCCTCCAGCCTTTTTTTTTTTCTATGCCACACAAAAGGTGGTGACCTTAGAAGGTCACTTAGTGTCCCTAAGGCTTGGTTTCCATGTAAATAATCTGGGGACATGAACATGCATTTGACAAAGGCTGCTGTGAGGGTTAAAGGAGACGTGACACAGAGCAGGCGTGGCAGACAATCCCTCTGGGGCTGGATCTGTTTATATTTTTTTAAATAAAGTTTTAGTGGAACACAGCCACAGTCAGTCAGCCTGTGGCTACTTTCAGGCAACAAAACAGAACTGGACAGTGGTGACACAAACCATAGAGCCCCAAAGTCTGACACGTTCACTCTCGGGCGTCAGGTGCTCTGACGTGGGGTGTGGGTCTTCACTGCCAGGCTAAACGCCCACCAGCATTATCTACACAGAGAGAGAAGGAGAGGGAGAGAGAGAGAGAGAGAGAGAGAGAGAGAGAGGGAGGTCCTCCATCCGCTGGTTCACTCCCTAGTTGGCCACAATGGCTGCAGCTGGGCCGATCTGAAGCCAGAAGCCAGGAGCTTCCTTCAGGTCTCCCATGTGGGTGTAGGGGCCCAAGCACTTGGGCCACCTTCCACTGCTTTCCCTGGCTACAGCAGAGAGCTGGATTGGAAGTGGAGCAGCTGGGTCTTGAACCAGTGCCCATATGGGATGCCGGCGCTGCAGGTGGTGGCTTTACCTGCTATGCCACAGCACCAGCCCCAGCATTATCTTTTTTTTTTTAAGATTTATTTTTATTTATTTGAAAGAGTTACAGAGAGAGGTAGAGACAGAGAGAGTCTTCCATCCATTGGCCCACTCCCCAGATGGCCGCAAGGGCAGAAGCTGTGCCGATCTGAAGCCAGGAGCTTCTTCCGGGCCTCCCACGCAGGTGCAGGGGCCCAAGCACTTGGGCCATCCTCCACTGGTTTCTCAGGCCACACCAGAGAGCTGGATCGGAAGAGGAGCAGCCAGGACTAGAACCGGCGCCCATATGGGATGCAGGTACTTCAGGCCAGGGCTTCAACCCGCTGTGCCACAGCGCCCCCCCCCCCCAACATTATCTTTTTAACAGTAGCATTGTACAAGTGCATCTGAATGTATTTCTCTGGGGCCCACTTGATGGACATTTAAATAGCCTGGTTTTCTTAGTTATCCGGACCATTACCAGGGCTGTCTCTGTGACCTTCAGGGGTCCTGGCATTGTTAGGTTGGGAGAACCTGCAATAACTCAGTCCAACACTTCACAATTTACTCACATCCACCCCGAACTAAATCCTTCAGCGGCAACAGAAATATTCGGAAGGACTTCCTGATTCTGCTCTTGAGACCAGACGGCTCTGAGCGGTGCACTTGACGTTTGCCACTGGGACTCTGTGCTGTCGCTGGGTGTCCTCGTCCTCTTGCAGAGGGAGGAACTGATGCGGTTCTTTGCAGTGAAACACTCATGAGTTAAGGTGAAGTTAATGCAGGCTGCACCGCTGTGTTCGTGGGATTTATGCAACCACTGGTGCAGCCTGAGCTGCATTTCTAATGTATATAATTCAGAGTCAGTGCTTTCTCCCGCCTCAGGTCCCAGCACAGGGGGACACAGGTAGCATCCTGCAGGTGCACGGCCTTAGTCGCTGACCGACCGGCACAGACCCTCATGCTTGCCGAGGTGGGCGGAGCCGGCATTGCAGGAGCAGCAGCAGGAGGAGTCTGTGGCCCCAGGAGATGTGGCAGATTCTTCTTTTCAGTGGCTTCTGTAGGCCCGGCACAGCTCCCGGGGCGTGGCTCCTCGTGTTGCAGCCTCTCCTCTGCTGTCGGACCCCAGCTTCTCCCCTCTGCCACATTGTGGGGCGTGCTGCCGTCTCCTGGGTCTCAGCTTCTCCCCTCTGCCAGGTTCTCTGTCTCGTGACCATGAGGAATGAGGCACACGGACAAGGCAGAGGGAAGGAAGTTTATTGAAAGCAGAGAACGCCCGCAGCACTCAGAGGGGTCCCCGGAGGGCAGTGGGCTGGGCCTGCCTGGCCTGTGTGATTTCTGTCTTTCCAAAGGAGGAAGCTCACCTGATTAGTCAGGGTATATGCTAATGAGGCGCTCTTCTATTTTTTAAAAATTTATTCATTTTGAAAGTCAGAGTTACAAAGAGAGGAAGAGACAGGGAGAGACGGATCTCCCATCCAGTGGTTCACTCCCCACATGGCCCCAATGGCCAGGCCCGGACCAGGCTGAGGCCAGGAGCTTCATCTGGGTCTCCCACATGGATGCAGGGGCCCAAGGACTTGGACCATCTTCTTCTGCTTTCCCAGGCCATGGCAGAGAGCTGGATCAGAAATGGGGCAGCCGGGACTTGAACTGGTAACCCATATAGGATGCTGGCGTCGCAGGCACTGGGTTTACCAGCTACACCAAATGCCAGCCCTGCTAATGAGGTATTCTGTGTGAGCCAATCAGGGAGTCAGCACAGCAGAATGTGATTGGTTAGGCCAGGAACCAATCAGCAGTGGCCTAATAAGGAGCTCACGTTACGTAGAGAAGTGAGGCGTGTGCTGAAGCAGGCCTGCCGTGGGCAGCCTCTGAAGATCCCCCTGTGTGTCCTGTGGCTCTCAGGGCTCCTGGGGTCACACCATGCGCACTGTTTCCTTTCCTTTCCAGGGGCCCTGTCACCCGGACCCCACCTGCACAGCAGAACAGACCAGGGTCATGGGAAAGGCCTGATTATGCTTATTTTAGTTAAAAAATGAATGTATTTATTTCAAAGGGAGAGAGACAGAGATGAGGGATGGAAGGAGAGAGAGAGAGAGAGAGAGAGAGAGAGAGAGAGATCCATTCACTAGTTTGTGCCCTAAATGCCAGGCCAAAGCAAGGAGTCAACAGATGAAAGAAAGCTCAGTAGCGAGTTGTGTTGTGTGGACAGTGCAGACCCCCATGGACGGTCCCAAGCCCTTCTTGGATGCCAAGGACTGGGTTCACAGAGTCCTCTGGTGGCCATCTTATCTCTGCCAGCCCTGGTGTGCCCGGGCCTGCAGGGCTTCCTGGGGTGTGGGCCCTCAGGGCAGGAGACGGGAAGAGTTGGTCCCCCTAAAGATGGCTGAGAAGAACACTCTCCTATGACCTCCACACTCCTTGGGTTTCCTGCCACGGTGGGAGACGCCTGCAATGTGGCGAGCCATGGAGGGGTCAGGAAGGGGCCCCGGGGGTGCCATGGATGCCCTGCTATGGCACCGTTCAGAGACCGAAGTGGCTGCACACCCAAGAGTAGTCACCCCACGTGCCCTCAGTGCCCAGTGCCAAGCAGAGGGCCACAGAGCCAAGAAGACGTCTCTCTCCATCTCTCTCTGTCTCTCTGTCTCTTTCCTGTTCCTCTTCCCTCTTCTCCCCTGTGTCTTCCGGAAGAGGAAGTGCTAGACGGAACACGGGCACCAGCGAAGAGCTTTGCAGGGAGCTCCCGGGCAGGGTCTCAGCAGCCTCAACTCCAGGATTACAAAAGCTTATCTGACCGATGCCCGCGTCCCCTCCCGCCCTGCCCTCTGGAGCCTGACCACCTGGAGCAGAGCACGCCCCGCCTCCCCAGCAGAACAGAGCTCGTCACGTGGTGCAAACCTCAATCTTCCAGCAGTCACTTGGAAGAGGTAAGGAGAAAAGACGAAACCAACGTTAATGTTTTATTTAAGCCAGTGTATAAAAATATTATTACAACACGTAATCAGAGACCCCAAAAAATTGAGATCCTTTGTATGTCGCATTCTTTTTTTTAAACTGAGTTTTAAGAAATCCAGGGTTTACTTGACACTGTGCCTCTCAGTTGGGGAGCTAAATTTTCACTGGAAAGACTTGATCTATATTTAGATGTCTCGGAACCACGTAGCTGCAGAAGATCCGAATACGGAAAGATGTTCCCGGCTACTTTAAAGTTTCCGGAAACTGAAATCGAGGATCCGGGTCTAAATGCATCGACAGGAAACGTTCAGTCTCCACGTCACACCAGCCACATCTGCAGTGGGCAGCCACGTCTGCCACGTGTGGCGGGCGCCACCCAACAAGCAAGCACAAGGCTAGAACACTGTCCCTCTGTTCCCACGGCTTTACCTGCTGACCTGCACCTGTTGTGTTCAAGGAATAGGGGAGGAGCGAGATAGAAACAGCAACGAACAACTCTCAGGGCACTGGCTTTGACCGTGGCCCCAGGCACAGTTCCGGGGCCCCTGGGGTGCACTGACTATGCTCCCAGGCTGTAGCTTCCGCACTCACTGATGCTACTGACCCGCGGCCAGCTGGCCCTGGAACCTGGGGGCGGCCCGCTGCCCTAGTCAGGAGTGCCCCCGCGGTGGGGCCAGGCCTCCTGTCACCAGAAAGGCCACACTGGGGGCAGCTGGCAGACCGACGGCAGGAAGGAGGCCTCTGCTGCTCGTGGCTGGTCTCACGACCGTGAGAAAGGGGCAGCCGTGGTCAGACGGAGCGAGGCGCGGCCTGCGGAGGCCTCCCCACTGCTCCCCGCTCCTGCAGGCCAGGCCTCTGCCCTGTGCCCTGTGCCCTGTGCCCTGCGGCCTGGGACGGTCTGCGGTCTCTGTGCTGCTGCAGGGGGCTTTGCTCAAGTCTGAGTGGGCCGGCAGAATTCGATCTGAGACCGTTCTACCCAGGTAGAGCGGGGTACAGCAGCCACCCCTCACCCACCGCGTTATCTTCAAAAAGAACCAAAGGCCGTGGTGGCCGCGGGGGCTTGCAAACCCTCTGGTTGCTGCACTCGTTCTGGGCCCAGTGGTGAGTCCTGAGCGACGGAGGCCGGGTGGCTGCTGGCAGCATCGAGAGGCTGGGGGCAGCAGCTGCTCACCCGGCTGCAGGGACGTGACTTGGAGATCCTGGTGCATGGTTATCCTGGTGCGTGGTTACCCTGGTACTAGGGGATCCTGGTTTGAGGTTATCCTGTGCTTGGTTATCCTGGTACTTGGAGATCTTGGTGCTTGGTTATCCTGGTACTTGGAGATCCTGGTGCATGGTTATCCTGGTGCTTGGCTATTCTGGTACTTGGAGATCCTGGTGCTTGGTTATCCTGGTACTTAGAGATCCTGGTGCATGGTTATCCTGGTACTTGTAGATCCTAGTACTTGAGGATCGTGGTGCTTGGTTATCCTGGTACTTGGGGATCTCGGTGTTCAGTTATCCTGGTGCTTGGTTATCCTGGTACTTGGTTATTCTGGTGCTTGGTTATCCTGGTATTAGGGGATTCTGGTGCTTGGTTATCCTGGTACTTGGAGATCCTGGTGCATGGTTATCCTGGTGCTTGGTTATCCTGGTACTAGGGGATCCTGGTGCTTAGTTGTCATGGTACTTGGAGATCCTGGTGCATGGTTAACCTGGTGCTTGGTTGTCCTGGTACTAGGGGATCCTGGTGTGTGGTTATCCTGGTGCTTTGTTATCTTGGCACTTGGGGATCTTGGTGTTTGGTTATTCTGGTGCTTGGTTATCCTGGTACTTGGAGATCCTGGTGCTTGGCTATCCTGGTGCTTGGTTATCCTGGTACTTGGGGATCCTGGTGCTTGGTTATTCTGGCTGTCCTGGTACTTAGTTCAGGCCCAGGCCTCAGCAGGGTAGAATGTGTGGCTCTCTTACCTGTCTTTAGGATTGGACCAGGCGTCCCCACGTCATAGATCAGACACCCAAGCTGACACACGCACGAGGAGACACCGGCTTCATTTTTAAAGCTGGCGTCCATCGGTGCTCCTCATGCACTGGGCACTGCGGGAGGCACCGACGCACAGAATCGCATTTCGTCTCCGTCACAGCCCAGGGAGACAGCAACGAGGCTGCTTGTCTCCATTCTATAGAGGCCCAGGGACGCAGGCTGGATCGGAAGTGGAGCAGCCTGGACTTGAACCAGTGCCCATGTGGGATGCCGGCACTGCAGGCGGCAGCTTTACCCACTACGCCACAGCACTGGCCCCACAGCACCTGCTAGTCACTGCCTGTATTTTCTGTTCCCAGGAATTCCTCCTCCACCTCCTCGGAGTTCTTCCCGGTCCTGGAGCTGAGACTTTAACGGCTGTGCAAGGAGCCCAGGACCCAGGACGGGCGTCCTCAGCTGGGCTCCGAGGGCCTCCAGGCTGTGGGATTCTTCTTTATTTCCCAAAGAGAGTGCAAGCTCCTCCAAGGAGCCCCAGGGCACTGGACACCAGGCAAAGGGTGGAGAAATCCACCAATTCACAACCGAGTGAAAACAAACAGCTCGCACCCTCACCGCCACAAAATCCCGAGAGGCGCTCCGGCGACGGGCGGGGGTCAGCCCCGGAAGGGCTTCGCCAGCAAGAGGAGCAGCGCACGGGGGAACCCAGGCGGCAGGGTTCCCTCGGGGCGGGGTGGGGAGTCCAGAGCTGGAATCTCTGCTCTGTGTGCAGGAAGAAGTGAGAAGAGGGACTGCCTCCGGGTGGGGGGACCTGGGGACCACCCGGGGGGTGCCATGTTCCATATCACCATGGGGTTGGGGTTGCACGGGTGCATGTGGGTGTCAAAACTCAGTGATCTGTGCACGTCATCCACGATGGCCCTGGTGATCCTGCTGACCTCACCCCCTCTGTCGTGGTTACCACCACACGTGGTCACATCCGGTGGCACCGCGGTGACGGTTCTGACACCTGCACTCTGAGGGGACACAGCTCCACCCTCAACAGACTTCTGTTAGGAACCGCGGAATCTGAATCCAGAGAGGGAATCTCAGCCCCCAGGCCGGGTCACAAGAGCCACGGAGCTCCTGCTGTGCCCTCCAGGGCCACTGCTCGTGGGGAGACTCCGCAGCCCTGGGCACGTCCTGTGGTGGGGCACCGTGGCTTCCTGCCAACACCAAGAGCCGCATGAGGGCGCCCTCCTGCGGACCGGTCCTCCGGCCCCAGCCGAGCCTTCAGGCGGCTGGCAGCTCACCACCACCATTCAGTCCTTAACGCAGGCTTCCTGCACATCTGACTCCGAGGGTGTCCATTGAGGTCCTGCTACAATTTCACAGCTGGGCAGGCACACCTGTGCACACGCACACACACTGAGAGCCGCCACAGCGATCCTGCAGCCTAGGTGAGCAGGGACCTGTACCAGAAACCCCACAGCGGAAATCCACGTGTTAAAGCTTACGGCTGACTTTTTTAAAAACTGTTTTCTTACTTGCTGTTTATCCTGGGGCTTGTTTTGCTTTTAGAATCAGAGAAAACAGGGGCTGGTGCTGTGGCGTAGTGGGTAAAGGACCTGGTTGCTCCACTTCCGACCCAGCTCTCTGCTACAACCTGGGAAGGCAGCAGAAGATGGCCCTTAAGTGCAGGGACCCCTGCACCCGCGTGGAAGACCTGGAAGAAGCTCCTGGCTCCTGGCTTCACTGGGCTCAGCTCTGGCCGTCCTGGCCATTTGGGGAGTGAACCAGTGGATGGAAGACCTCTCTCTCTGTCTCTGCCTCTGCCTCTCTGTAGCTTTGCCTTTCAAATAAATAAATAAATAAATAAATAAATCTCTTAAAAAATTAGAGAAAACAAGCAAAAACCAAGACCCATCATCACAACTCCCACACCCCATTAGCCGCCGGGCAAAGCCCCACGTGTACCTTGCTTGATGATAGGAGACGTGGGGCCCATCACAAACGAGAACATCTTCCCGCTGGCGCTCAGGGGCCGCCCGTGTGGGGCTGGCGGGACCATGGTCGGCCTGGGGAAGCCCTGGGACCAGCTCCTTTGTACGGGGGCTGGCCGCATGCCCGGATGGAAGGGGATATGTGTCGGCGAGGGTGAGTGGTTCTGCTGCGGTGTGGGCCGAGACGGCTGTGGCCTTGACCAAGGTGTTGGGCCCCTCGCCCACGGGAAGGAGACCTGCAGGGCAGAAAGGGTCAGGAGAGGTTAGAATCGGCTGGCATGATCTCCACCCCGTTGTCTCAGCTAAGGGGCTGCCCTATGTCTCAGCTTATGAGTCACTTCCTCCAGGAAGCCTCCCTGGACTCTCCTTAAGTTTAGAAGGGTGGTCACATAGCACACCATCTCACACTGGTCATTGCGTGTGCTCCTTGTGCCAGGCACCTGCAGGAGGCTCATGTCTGTCTGCTCAGTGCACACACCCAACACTCCGTGATGACGCTGAGGCCGGGCAAGACCAGACAGCTTTCTCCAGCTCACAGGTACAGAGCGCCTCTCAGGGCTTAGGGTCTTTCCTGATGCCTGTGTGCTTGTGGCACCTTCCGGGAACACCGGGTACTCATGGCAGCTGTTCCCGTACCGGCTGAGAGAGTCAGGAAGCCGCTGGCTCCAGGCCAGCCCTCTGGGACGCCACAGCTGCTTCTCTTCCCACCCCCGCTGAGGGTCTCCGTGCTCTCCCCCAAACCCAGCGCTCTGGAGGACAGAGTCCCTGGCTGTCGCATTAGCCCTCAGCATCCGCACAGCTGCTCCAGCAATGTCTACGGAGGGGGCCCTGGGGAAGGTGTGTGCAGCCGCGGAGGGCAAATGCAGACGGAGCGCGCCGTCGCTGGCTTCTGCCCGGGATTAAGGCTTTCACGGTGGTGTCACCTCGTGCCTGCTGGTTAAGTGATGTCACAGCCCTGAGTGGTTCTGTCCCCAACAAGAGCCACCAGGGGAAGGGGCTCCTTAGTTCTCCATCGTAGACACAGCTTGAAGTTACCCAAGCTCAGCTAGTGGTGGAGAGGGACAGGAGATCAAGGTCTGATGGCCAGGGCTGGCGCTGTGGCATAGTGGGTAAAGCTGCCACCTGCAGTGCCGACATCCCATATGGGCGCTGGTTCAAGTCCCAGCTGCTGCTCTTCTGATCCAGCTCTCTGCTATGGCCTGGGATGGCAGTAGAAGATGGCCTAAGTCCTTGGGCCCCTGCACCTGTGTGGGAGACCTGGAAGAAGCTCCTGGCTTTAAATCGGCATGGCTCTGGCCGTTGCGGCCAGCTGGGGAGTGAACCAGAGGATGGAAGACCTCTCTCTCTCTCTCTTTCTGCCTCTGCCTCTCTGTAACTCTGCCTTTCAAATAAATAAATAAATCTTTTAAAAAAAATCCTTGTAGCCACTCCCCCTCCCTCCCTCTCTCCTCTCAGAGATCTCCCTCGTCCCAGGCAGGACACTGAGATCCAGGGTTACTCGCGCGCTCTCGTCCCCCTGGGCTGTCCTGCCTCACGCATTCCGATGACCGAGTTCCATTGGTTGGATATGTATTTATCGAGCGAGTGGGTGGACGTGAGAAGTGGTGAGCTCACATGCATTTCCCCAGCCTTCTAGAGCTCAAGTCTAGGGATGACCGTGGCTGTGTGCAGGAGTCCACTCTCTGGCCGGGGCGCTCAGGTAAGCCTGCCTCAAGGTTAACTCCAAGGGCACAGAAGCCGGGACTCGCTAGCTCCACCCACAGGCAGTATCCACTTGGCATCTTATGGAGACTCTGGGAAACCTCCCTCCCTCTCCGCCCATTGTGGGTGGGGCCAATCAATCAGCCAATCACATTCTCTGATCTCAGGGATTGGTTCAGGGGTGGGGCATGCGATCCAATCAGAGACTGGGCGCTTCTGGCTACGGGAGGCACTGAAAGGGTGGGGCCAGACATGGAGCCCCAACATCTTTTCATTGTCAAAAACACATGACATGAAAGTTTCCATCTTATCCCATGCAAGTGATTGGTTCAGTGGTGTTAATTATGTTCCAATGGCTGTGAAAGAGATCTCTAGAACCTTCCTATCTTGTAAAAGTAAAAATTTTTAAAAAGATTTATTTTATTTGAAACACCTAATTACAGAGAGGGAGAGGCAGAGGCAGAGAGAGAAGTCTTCCATCCACTGGTTCACTCCCCCGAATGGCCAGAGCTGAGCCGACCCAAAGCCAGAAGCCATGAAGCTTCATCCAGGTCTCCCATGCAGGTACGGGCCCAAGGACTTGGGGCATCTTCCACTGCTTTCCCAGGCCATAGCAGAGAGCTGGATCGGAAGTGGAGCAGCCGGGACTTGAACCGGCACCCATAGCAGCTTTACCTGCTATGCCACAGCGCTGGCCCATAAAAGTAAAATCCTATTCATATTAAATAACTCCTCTCTCCTCCCTTGAGCCCCAGGCAGGCACCATTCCATTATTAGGCTCTATGAATCTGACGACTGTGGCCGTCAAACACCCAGGTACAATCGGACGGGGGTGACTTCTGACGACTGGCCCGTTTCACTTAGCATTCACACGCGCTTGGGTCAGAGCCTCCCTCCTTTTACGGCTGGCTGTGTTCCACGGCATGGGCAGGCCTCGTGCTGTCTGGTCGTCTTGGATGACACCACGTTGCCTCTGGGGCCTGCGAATACTGCTGCTGTGGCCCTGGCTCAGTCCCGCCCTGGACCGCTCAGGAGCACGGCTGGTTAGAGCTGGCTCTGCCACCTGCAGCACGCGGGGCCCTGGGGACAGCAGCTCTCACAGGGAATGCGCCCGTGCAGAAATGCAGCCCACACCACTGTTTTCAAAAAACAGTTTTGTTTTTCCTAAGGCACCTTCACTCAGGAAGGTTAAAGTTGCTTTTCTGGGGCTTGCACTGTGGCGCTGCAGGTAGATGCAGCTTGCGATGCCAGCATCCCACATGGAGCTCTCTCTGGTTTGAGTCCCAGCTGCTGTGTTTCCAGCCCAGCTCCCTGCTAATGCACCTGGGAAAGTAGCAGAAGATCGACTAAGTCCTTGGGCCCCTGCACCCGCATGGGAGACCCGGAAGAAGCTCCTGGCTCCTGGCTTTGGATCGGCGCAGCTCCGACCAGTGCGGCCACTTAGCGAGTGAACCAGTGGATGGAAGACCTCTCCCTCTCTCGGCCTCTCCTTCTCTCTCTGCTTCTCTGTAACTCTTTCAGATAAATAAATAAATCTTTAAAAAAAAAGAAATGTTAGTTTAAAAATCCATGCTGATGTCTTTCTTCTTCTGCCCCGGCACTGCCGGTTTCTGACCAGATGGCGCGTTGCACGGGCGCCGCTGTCTTGTTTTTGCTTGTTTCGTTGAGCGGCATATGTCCTTCCGGGTTTTTTCCCCACAATCTCTACCCTAGCAGATTGTAACCACCTGGACCACACTCACCAGCTCAAACAAACGCCAGTTAACGATTTACCCGAGAAACCGGCCACGTTTACCAGGTTATCACTTGTTCTTTGAGCGATGGTGATAGCCCCTCCCCCCAGAAGTCCTGGAGGCTGCGCCCCAGGGGACCCTGCCCTTGAACAGCTGTCTCCGCTGTCAGCCCTCCATATCTGGGAGCATCGGTCCCAGGACCCACCGCAGACACCTGAATCCATGGATTCTCCAGCCCCTCTGTAACACGGCGCAGTATTTGCACAGAGCCCACGCCCATCTCCCTGGACTAGGACACCTAACACGGTGCAAGTGCCATGGAAATAGTTGTTAGGGAGCAATGACGAGGAAAACTGCCGGCTTGTGTCCAGGACAGGTGCAATGAAAGAACTCTTTTGGTTGGGCTGCTACTAGAGGAGACAGTTTCTGTCCTCGTGCTGGGGATTAATAAGAAGCCAAAGTTCAGAGAGGCTGAGTGACTTGCCCCAGGCCCTACCGCCCGGATGCAGAGCTGATGTTTCATCTAAAAACCTTGCTGTTTGGGCTCCCAGGTTATCTGAAGTTATGATTTAGGGGCCGGCACCGGGTCGAAGTGGGTTAAACTGACGCCTGCCATGCCCGCCTCCTGTATGCGCATTGCTTCGAGTCCCGACTGCTCCGTGTCCGTTCCAGCTCCCCGCTAATACGCCTGGGAAAGCAGGGGGCTCTGGGGAGGCTCAGGCTCAGGCTGCTAGGTGCCCTGGGCTTCCACGCAGCTGGGCCGGCGAGGTAGCGCACCACCACCTGCAGGAATAAGAATTTTCGAAAGGTGTGCACAGCCAGGTTACCCTGCAAGTGGGCTCTGCTGCATCTGAAAACCCACCGGTGACCCGGCTCCAGCCGGCTTCAGACTACACGCCCCCCCCTTCCCCTGCATCACCTGCAAAGTGGGTGGGGGCAGAGTTTGATTTGCACTGACGAGCTGTGTGACCCTGGGCCAGCTACTCCGCCTCTGAGCTTCTGCCTCCATCTGTGAAATGGGATCGTGAGAGGGTAAACCGAGGAAAGCCGCAGACTGCGGAGATGCAGGCGGCTCCCCGTTTTAACCTGCTGACTCCTCTGTTGACAGAGCATCCTGAACGGGTCTTTACCTCTGTCTGCCACCGCCGATTAAAACGCCCCACCCCCAAGCCTGCACAACCACACACGGCTCCCAGCTGCGTGATTTCACACACGCCATGGACAGATCAGCACGGGTGGCTCTGTGCACACAGCGGAATACCATCCGGCCTCGGGGGGCAGGGGCCCTGAGTCCCCCCACCCCCAACCCAGCACAGCTGAACCTTCTGGACACCAGGGTAAGCGGAATAAGCCAGACTCAGAAGAGCAAGCGTCGAATGGCCGCAGGCAACATGAGGTGCTCAGAGAGCCCGGTTCAGGGAGATGGGAAGTGGAGGGTGGTCGCCAAGGGCTGGGGGGAGGACGGGGCGTGGAGTTAGTGTGCGAGTAAGTAAGTAAATAAATAAATAAATCTTTTTCAAAAACGACCCTTTGCTGCATAGTTAGGTCTCGCATTTTATGCCACTCTAAGTAACACGGCAGTGAGCGTCTCTGTAGGGGGAGAGAAAGAGAGGCGGATGCTGTATCCTTGCTCCTGGCCAGCAGAACCGCTTCCCTGGGAGGAGGCCTGGGCACCTGCGACGCTCCCGGGTGTTCCTGGGAATCAGACGCGTTAGAGAGACAGCGGCTTCCACACCACAGACTTGGGTTTTCAGGGCTGGGGTTTGGAACTCCGTTTACTTCGGTCCCTTTGGAAAAACCTGTCGGTGCGACGCAGAAAGGATTCTACATGTGGGGTTCCCTACTGCCAGGGCGCGGCGGAACCGCGGTGGAGCCTGGGAGAATGCCGGCTGCCGCACTTAGCACCTGCAATAAGGGGACAGATGTCCACTGAAGCCCGGATTTCAGATGGAAACAGAACAGACACATTCTAGTGTCATGCAACATTTGGGACACACTTCTGTGAAAAGTGATTTGTCGTTTATCTGAAATCCGAATTTCACTGGGGGCCCTGTGTCTTCTCCAGCACCTGCCGAGCGAGTCCGTGGGCCTGGCTGAGGCCAAGGGGTCTGCCTAGCTGCTCTGACCCCACGGTGCAGGGTCCCGTCCTAAAAGCCCCCCAATCAGGTCACCCACATCCGGGTCAGGAGCCAACATGTGCCAGGCACAAACACAACACCCTCCTGTTGGCCAGGGGAGAATGCGGAAGCAGAAAACGGTCGCCCCAGGCCTTCTAGGCCAAGTGCGAATGAGGGGGCACCAGGCCCTGTGCAGCCTCGGGGGTACCCACAGGCCCTGCCCCAGGACTCTGGCAGACCCTCCAGACCCTGTCTCGCTCAGCCCCCTCCCGAGAGGCAGTCTGGTCTGACTTGTTCTTGGGAGGGTTACGGGGAGTGGGACCCAGACCACCGAGAACGTGGCACCGTCTCCTGCAGCCCTCGGGCCAGGCTGGGGAGAGCTTCGCCGTCATCACCCCCATTTTGTAGAAGAGGAGACTGGAGTCCCGAGGGGTGCAGAGTAAAATCCCCTGACGTGGGATTTTGTGTTCTATCTTGCGGAAACTGAGGCACGGCCCGGGGCCTGCTTCTGGCCACGGCACAAGGACAGCGGCCGTGAGCTGGATCAGGCTGCCACTCTGCACACTCTCTCAGCCCCAGGCGCCACGGGCGGGACCCTGGCCCAGGCCACCGAGCTGTCTGAAGAGGCAGCAGCCAGCTCTGCACTTGCAAAATCACACACCTCCTCTCCCCATCATCCCAGCCTAGGTCTCTGTTTCACAATTCTTGCGTGTAACTCCAGGAAATGCCCAGAAGAGGGCGCCAAAGCTCTCTCCTCCCCTAGGCCCCCACAGGTAGGTCTCTGCGGCCAGGTGCAGGCGTGCGGGGTGAGGACCTGGCCCAGCCCCTTGTGCCCCCTCGCCCGCGGTGCCCGGCTCACCTGCGGTGGGTTTTCGATGACCAGCTCGTAGGTCAGCCCCGTGGCCCCGAACCTCAGGATGTCTCCAGGAATGAGCTTCACGGCCACGTTCTGGATGTGACACTCGTTGACGAAGGTGCCGTGGCGGGAGTTGAAGTCCTGGAGGACAAAGCTGCCCTCGGCCTCGTTGTACTCGATGAGAGCGTGGTGGTTGTCGATGTCTGTGGACTGCAACACAGGAGGGCAGCTGTGGCCGCGGAATAGCGTCCATGGCCCCGAAGCCCGCCCAGTGCTCGCGGGGGCACGCCTGGGTCGCCACAACCCTCACCTCCAATGGACGGTGCTGAGGATCAGAGAGACCGGGCGACTTGCCTGTGGCTGCACAGCCAGTGCAGGCAGGGGCCGGGCTGTGCTCAGCTGACCCAGACCTGGGGACGGGCACCCGGCTCTCAGGTGGGAGCCAGGCAACACCGAGACAGAGGGAACCTGGGGTTGGTTGTCTAGCCGGCGTTTACCGGGGAGCTGCCACTTCCTGCTGCTGGGACCCCACGTGGCGGTGCTGCAAGCCAGGGCAGGAAACAGAGAGGCCCAAACACGGACCTCACGGGCCACTCAGTGGTGACCGTGCCCAGGTCCCAGTGTGGACGATGTCACGTGTGCAGAGTGGGACACGTGTTCCAGCTAAGGGGATGTTGTGATTCATTTGTCAGGTTTATCTGTTTGCTCTATGTTTAAAATATGGTTTTAATATTGCAGAAGATGAGAAGTAGAGAAAAGCACCAGAAGACATTAAAATCCTTTACCGTCCCATCCCCCAGAGGCAGCCCCGTTAACTCGGAGATTCACGTCCTTCCAGAAATTTTTAAAAATTTTGTTAATTTTTATGTGTTCCTTTGCAAGGCACAAAGAGCTCTCCCATCTGCTGTTCACTGCTGAGACAGCTGGGGCGGCCAGGCTGAAGCAGGAGCCTGACTGAGCCTGAAGCCGCATCTGGCCTCCCTGTGGGCGCCGGGGACACAAGCACACAAGTCATGGCTGCTGCCTCCAGGGTGCGCATTAGCAGGGAGCAAGAATCAGAGTGGGGCCAGCACTCGAACCCAGCACCCTAACATGCGACGCAGGCATCGCAAGTGCTGTCTGAATGGCTGTGCTAAATGCCCGACTCTCCCACTTGTTTCTACACTTACATCCTGTAAGAATGAAACTACTCTGGGGCCGGCGCTGTGGCGTAGCAGGTAGAGCCTCAGCCTGCAGTGCCGGCATCTTTGATGAGCACCAGTTCAAGTCCCGGCTGCTCCTCTTCCAGTCCAGCTCTCTGGTGTAGCCTGGGAAAGCAGTAGAAGATGGCCCAAGTGCTTGGGCCCCTGCACCCGAGTGGGTGACCCAGAAGAAGCTCCTGGCTTCAAATCAGCACAGCTCTGGCCATTGAGGCCAATTGGGGAGTGAACCAGCAGATGGAAGAATCTCTCTCTCTCTCTCTCTCTCTCTCTCTCTCTCTCTGCCTCTTCCTATCTATGTAACTCCTATTTTCAAATAAATAAATAAATCTTTTTTTAAAAAAATGACCTACAGGGTTTCACCGTTACCTTTTTTTTTTTTTTTTTTTTGACAGGCAGAGTGGACAGTGAGAGAGAGAGAGAGAGAAAGGTCTTCCTTTGCCGTTGGTTCACCCTCCAATGGCCGCCGCTGCAGCCGGCGCACCGCGCTGATCCTGGCAGGAGCCAGGAGCCAGGTGCTTTTCCTGGTCTCCCATGGGGTGCAGGGCCCAAGCACGTGGGCCATCCTCCCCTCTCACTCCCGGGCCATAGCAGAGAGCTGGCCTGGAAGAGGGGCAACCGGGACAGAATCCGGCGCCCCAACCGGGACTAGAACCCGGTGTGCCGGCGCCGCAAGGTGGAGGATTAGCCTATTGAGCCACGGCGCCGGCTCCACCGTTACCTTTTTCAAGCCTTGACACACAATGAAGGCTCGCCCGTGCAATGAGCCGATTCTGTTGCTTCTTAAAAGCCACTCAGAGTTCACCAGAGACGGCCCACGTGGCAGCAGGGGGCCGGGGTGACTATTCCTAAGGGAAAGGGGACCCGGCGGGGGTCTGTGTGCTGGCGGTGGAGGACAGAAGCACTTCGCTGATAGCTTGATGAGAAGCGTGGGCACACTCAGTGCCTAGGCGGTCATGGCCTGTGCCCAGGGCTGGGGGTCCCCAGAGCGCAGAAGGGACCCTGCAGGCTGCAGGCCACCACCATCGTCCCCTTCCCCGAGCACTGCCTGGGGCACCCCCCGGCCTGAGACCCCGAGGTTGTTCACTGAGTTTCTCTTCTAGGAGTTCTCCGTCCAGACTCACCCAACAGTACTCGCACTTAGAAATCCGAAGTCCATTATATAATACCTAGGCACTGATGCTAATCATGACATAGTTATTCACATACTAATATTTGTAACAGAGTGACAACATAACACCAGCTAAATTAGGGGGCCAGGGAATTTTCTAACCGCTGTACCGCACTGTCGCATCCCATCTTTGCAACGATCCAGGGGTAGTTTTCCGTTTTGTACTCAAGGACATGGAGGCACAGAGCAGTTGAGTTTTCCTAAGTGCCCCAGCTGGCCAAGCGTGGTTTGCACCCAGGCCCACCTGATTCAGATGTCCGTGTTCTCTACCCACCAAACACGCTGGCACCCACAACACGAGAACACAAGGAAAGCTGGACTGGCAACATTAACTGCAAACAACGCACACTTCAGAGCAAGAAAAACTGGGATGAGAAGCCTCACAGAATGAGGAAGGGGTCGACTCTCCAAAAAGAAGCCACAGTCCTTAACATGTATGCACCCAACAACAGGGAGCCAAAATCCACAAGGCAAAAACTGATAGCATTGCACAGAGAAACTGACAGGTGCACTGCGACGGCTGGGGCTTTGAGAGCTATCAAAACAGCCAGACCCAGCAGGCAAAAGGTCGGTGCAGACAGGGCTGACCCTGGGCTGACCTGGGCAGCACCATCGCCCAACTAGATGGAAGGGACATTCACAGCATGCTTAACCAACAACAAAATCCACATGGGACACCCACAAGATGGAACGCATTTGGGCTGTAAAACATGTCAGTAAATTTTGAACCCCAGAGGCATGCAGAGAATGCTCTAGTACCATGATGTAACTCAGCTGGGAAACAGTAGCTGAGCCGGTGCTGCAGCTCACTAGGCTAATCCTCTGCCTGCGGCACTGGCACCCCGGGTTCTAGTTCCGGTTGGGGCGCCGGATTCTGTCCTGGTTGCTCCTCTTCCAGTCCAGCTCTCTGCTGTGGCCCAGGAAGGCAGTGGGGGATGGCCCAAGTGCTTGGGCCCTGCACCCCATGGGAGACCAGGAGAAGTACCTGGCTCCTGGCTTCGGATCAGCTCAGCGCGCCGGCTGTAGCGGCCACTTGGGGGATGAACAAACAGAAGGAACACCTTTCTCTCTCTCACTGTCTAACTCTGCCTGTCAAAAGAAAAAAAAAAAAAAAAAAGGAAACAGTAGCAGAGAGATGGCTGGAAAACCCACAAATATCCGGAGAGTAAATAACACGCTCCTATATCACACAAGGGTCAAGGAGGAGGAGTCAAGAGAAGTGAAAAAAATGGTCTTAGCTGAGTGCAAATACGACATCAAACATGGTGGGGTGCAGTCAGGAAACTCACAGCACTGAATGCGCGCACGAGAAGAGAACTCTAAAATCCGTCCCCAGGCGTCAGCTCAGCGAGCTGCAGGGGAGAGCAAGGCCAGAACAGAAATCAACGTGCGAGCGGAAATGACATCGAAAAGAGGAAAGTCACGCAGACGCTCAAGGACGCCTGGGGCTGGCCCTGGGGGAGGAGGAACGAGATGGACAAGCTTCCAGCAGGCCAAGACAGCAGGAGGGGAGACGGAAACGGTTAGGATTGGAGGTGCAGGAGGAGCTGTTACTGCTGATCACGCGGTGTTAAAGGGAGGAGGCAGGCGCATTGCCAACAACTCCCCATTCACAACTTGACAGCCGGGATGAAACGGACCGAACAGTTCCTCAAAAGATGCCACCCAAGAGCTCACACAGGGAGAAACAGATGACCCGGGCGGGCCCATCGCTGTTAATGAACTTGAACCATCATCTGTTGCTTCCAGATGTGCTCACTGTGAGTCCCACCAAATACCTTAAGGAAGAAACGATCCCAGTTCCCTGCAACGTCTCCTCTAAGACAGAAGCCGACAGAACGTTCCTGACTCATTCTATGAGGCCAGATTGCCTTAACACCAACCCAGAAGTGACCACAAGCAAGCAAAACAAGCCATTGTCTCAGGAACACACGCGGAAGTTTCAGCCAATGTTGGCAACGTATAAGGAGAACGATACACAACAACCAAGCGGGGTTTATTCCAATGTATTTGAGAGGCAGAGAGAGGGAGGGAGGGAAGGAGGGAGATAGAGGTGGGGGAGAGAGAGAGAGAGAGCGAGCAAGAACACACTCCCTCCTTCTGGTTCACTCCCAAATAGCCACCATGGTTGGAGCTGCGCTGGGCTGAAGCTGGAGCCAAGAACTCCCTCCAGGTCTCCCACATGGGTGGTGGACATCCGACCACTTGAACCAGGACCACTCCCAGGATCTGCACTGGCAGGAAGCTGGCGTGAGGGGGCGGAGCCAGGAACGGAACCCGGGCACCCAGTGTGGCACACGGGTATGTTAACCACTGTGCCAAAAGCCTGCCCCACGGGGACAATCTTAGAAAGGACAAAACTCGGAAAGTCGGTGGTTGCCCAGGTGCCCGAGGAAGACAGGGATGGAGACGGGAAGAGGATGCAGAGGGGCCCACAGGGTAGATTCAGGGCTAGGGAACTATTCTGTGTGCTACTGTCATGGATATACAAAACATCTGTTCAAGTCCCAGAACCTCGTGCCACAGATGCCCCCCACCGTGCGATGGGTTCCGTCCTGACACGTCATCCTGGTGACATCATCACTACATAACAAACTGGCACCCAAGCTGTGGTGTCGTCGCGTACTCGGCCCACTTTAAACAGGCTCAGTGCTCCCCCGCCGCCCGCCCGCCCGCAGCCGGGGGGCGCGGGAATCGTAGCGCACGCTGCCAGCCGCAGGGAAGGTGAACACTCAAAACGCGACGGATGGTTTCCACTGAATGTGTGTCGCTTACACATCACTGCAGGTCACAATGTCCCGAGTGGAGCCGGTGAAAGTCAGGACCTCATGAACGTGAAC